AAACGTATAAATATTTATCTAACAACAATTATATATATCAAACTGCCCTTTTCTCTTCAAAAATATGCACCAAACAAACTTTTGCACATTATTTTGTGTCTTCATGAAAATGAGGCATAACTAGGAAAAATATATATTCACTTTGTAGACTCTTTTGAGATATTTGTTAAACTTGCCCATCAAACAATAATCTGTCCATTTATCAACAAAGAAGAAAAGTTTCTTATATCTAAGAAATAATGAAATTAATTTCTAACTAGAAATAGAAAGTGTCCCACACATTATAAGCTTGTTTCAGGAGTCAGAAAATAACGTTGATACATTACGGGTTTGCTATAATAATGGTATAACAGTGAACTCATTGAACATTATATCAAACCTTTGTTAGAGGCCACCCTTAGATAATGATCACCCTGTGAATAAAGACAATTTTTCAACAACCATTCTGTGATTTAAGAGTAACCCCCAAATAAAGACCACTTGTATATAAAGGCCATGTTTGGTATCTCCTTTTGGGTGGCCTTTGTTCACACATTGAACAATATATGTGTATTCTTCAAGAGTATATGGTATAACATGAATTATGTGTGTTAATTTCCCCATCTTCTATTGTTTAAGGTATATCCCATAGAGCTATGTGTGTTTTCCTTGTAATATTGTTTTGTTATGATGTTTAAGGTATAACACACAGAGCAATATGTGTTTTGTTGTTTCTGTTTTTTTGTTGTTGTTTTTTTCAAAATGTTTATGGAATATATGGAATAACATATTGCATTGGAAATACTACATATTTTTCTGCAAAAGGTAGAAAAGCTGAGTAACTTTAATTTCATCATGGAAAAGATGTGTAAAGAAATGTAAAATATGACATATATGTGTAAGTGTGGAAATTTTATGTAATATGAGGCATCTGTGAACTTGTAATAAAAGTAACATCTGAAGTTTGCATAAATATAACAAATTCAATTAACTGAAAAAAAAACACAGTTTAACTTCATCAATCATTTCACATCTGATAAAAAGTAAATGCATCCCTGGTTATTTTCATAATAAAACCATTAAGTTTCTTTTAAAAAAATGGAATACCTGAATGGACTATTCCAAACTTCAAAGTTGGGCAAATCCATTACATGTACAAGTTAAAGGAACTGCTTCTCATGTTAATGAAAATGTATTGTCAAATTTGATGCAATAACTTTAAAGGGACTCCTATGATGTTTTCCAACAGGTGTTTAAATGCTTTAAACTCAAACCAGGCACAAATAAGATTAAATTCTAAGCATATTTCTTATATCCTTTTTTCATATTTTTCTATTTTAAGTGCCCAAGCTCATCTATGCAAGAATTTCAAATTTCAAGTTTTTAGAGGACATAAGAGGAGCTCCTTTATATAAAATGTAAACCATAATGTCTGAATGTGTGACAGGTAAAATGTTCCTAGCCTATGACAGGTGAATCTACATTTATACTAAATCTAAGCCATTTATGCTAAATGCTAAGTTAAATTAAATATAGCAAAAATGAATAGCCATTTTATGGCGGCATATGGTATACATAATATTATGACCAATATTTGAATGTAAGTGACGAAAAATATGTGACAATAATTCGATAAACACACATTTTGACCAGCTTAATACACAAATGAAATAGCATAGGGTAATATAAAAATAAATTCTACCTGGTTCTAAAAAATTAAAGAAAATATTAATGAAAAAAATAAAAAAAAGAAACTTAAATAAACTTCATTGAAAGTTCTATTTCTTGTTCAAATGGGTTAAAACTAACAATGTATAGATCTGCCAGTAAGTCAAAGATAAATGCAATAAACAAAATGATGAAAATTAAATATAAAAAAAATACCCTAGTAAACTACAAATTTTCATCGGGAATAAATATAAGCGCAACTTTGATGCTTTTGTAATGAATATGTTTTAACTTCGATGTGATATTTAATGAGACGCACAATTTTTTGCTTTAGTTTTCTTACTTCGAAGCAAGATTAAATACATCATAACTTATATGTATATTTTCAAATATATATATATATATATATTATGCCTACACATGGATGTAACATACATGTATATACCAATAATTCACTCACAAAATTTGTTCTTAATGCTAGTTGCCATAGGAACATGATATGTTTGTTGATCAGCAGTTTTTGTATTAAATCAGTAAAAGAAGTAAAAAAAGACTGATTTTTCAAATAAAGAAGAAATACAGAGATCTTCAACATTAACATGTCTGTTCATTTTTCTATGAAAGAAAAAAATGCAGCATAATTCATTAATCTGGTACAAAACAGACATAGAGATTCCTGAATGCTTGAATTCTTCTGTAAGTAAAAAGTTAATATAAAATCTCATATTGCATGGTAACGTACAGGTACTTTAGGTTGTAGCTTATATGAAACATATAAAACAAAAACTCAAACTGACCGAAAATAATCCAGATAAGAAAAAGGTTTTTAAAACTGGATTGGTTTTTCTAATAATTTAGTCAAAACTAATACAGCCTGTCAAGTATGTTCATAAGAAAAGTCAAGATTTTAACAAACCAGTTTTAAAAGGACATGAAAGAAATCAGATATAAAACAATCTAACTCATTTGCTAAAGAGAGATGTTACCTTGTTTTAAGTAAGTCTTAACCACTACAACATGAGGCAAACCTCGTACATTTTTTTATCAAGTACACTACAGAGCAGGGGTATAATAAAACCATTTTATAAAAACGACAATACTCTTGTGTATTTTCTTTGCATTATACAAACATAGTGTAAAAACACACTCATTTTATAGTTACGCTTCAGTCATGTCAACAAAAGAGTGACTCTTTTATTTTTTAACCAGAAACAATTCTTATTTTGTGCATGTGATAAATAAAATATTAAATTCAAGTGGGTTTATTACTTATTTTATTGAACTCATTGAATATAACAATATTATGCTAGTCAAACAGACTCACATAGTATCATTTCATTCAACTAATTCAAAAAATTTAGTATTGAACCTACACACATTTAATATCCTTCATTTTATATAACCATATAAAATAAAAACATATTTCCACTTTTTTGTTGTTGATTTTACAAAAATGAAGAAAAAAACATATCCCAAGTAACAAATCAGATCAAAATAAGCAGCATCAAAAATATAGTATATATATGATAAAGAAAAAGAGAAACATGAATTCTAAGAAATATAGTTCAAAGTATCCATAAGATTTGTAAATCAAGAATAATTAATTTTATTTCCTTTTTTTGGCCAAAAAAGAAATTTTAAAGAGATCAGATCTTAAATATTTTAATAAATAATGACAATTCATTGAGACACTATTAATTCATGTAGAAAAGTGGTTTATTTTAAAGAAGTTGGTTGAGAAAACCAATTTTACATAAAAATACTGAATAAAAATATTAGCAAGGCACTTTCTTTTAAAAGAAATTACCTATGACATGTCCAAATACCCAGAAATTTCACTTCCATAATTAGTAGAAGGGGTAGAACTTTGGTGATAAAAATACCAGATTCTGTCAAACATTGTGAAATGTATTGCAAAATTTGTTGGGCTGAATTGTAATTATATACCCTTGTCTAGCCATATATTTGCTGCAAAAATAATTATTTTATTATTTCAATTTTGAAAAAGAATACTTTCCAAATACCTGTATTATTGTAGTGTATGAAAAAAATATGTTTGAATATTTCCTTACAAGTGAATGATGTGTGCAAGAAATCATTGCTAAACGAATAAAACCCTACTTAAAACAGCAGCATAACATAATAGTCCTGAACATTTTATTCAGTTTACATATAATAATTCATAAGTAACAGAGACATTCTATGTTACAACTCTTAAGAATCAACAGTAAGATTACAGAAACAACAAAACTGTTCATGAATTTTATAAAAAAAAGAGAAAAAAGTTTCATAAGATATATAGCTTTATACATTTAATTTACACAATCTGTGCTTTTGTCAAGAATTTAAAATTCATTTTACACATCCGGTGTTCACTTTAAATAGTTCTTATTTCTGTTCACAAGATATCTAACTTTCAACATGTCTAATTTTTAATTTATTTTTAGATGTTTAATTAATACAAGAGCTTACAAGATGTTTCATAAAATATTAAGTACCCAGTTTGTCTATGAAATAACAAGACCAAAATTGCATAAAATTTCTTATAAATGGCACAAAAATTTGACAGAAGAAAATAATAAACAAATCATATCACTTGCAAAAATAGACAAGTTAATTTGCAATTAAGACATTAATTAACTAGGCTCATGTGTAAATGCAATCTTTGTCTCTTCTTGTAAATTAATCTTCAAATTTTTCTTTAACAAAAACTTTCCTGTTTACTACTGTATTACTGTATTTTTTTTATAATAAAAAGCATATTAAATCTGACACAGTATTCCATAGCTTTCAATAAATAGATAACTACCAGTGTACAATTAGTGATAAAGGGAAATTTTGGTTTAAATTCAGTTGAAAATTTAAAAAAAAATCTTTTTAATTGAGATTTTTGACTGACCATACAAATTATTCCATGTCCTGGATAATTAAAATATATCAAAACTCATTAATCAATTAATAAATTAAATAATTAATTAACTAACAAGTCCATGCCTTCTGGTGAGATAAAATTCTTACCAGAAAATTTATCATTTATTGTAATATTTTAGTAAAAAAATCAACAAAATTTATTGGCTAAAATAAATGTTCTAAAAACAAAATAAAACAGGATTAAAAAGTACTCAAAATTACTCATTTTCATCTAGCTGCTTTGGAAAATAAGGGGGAAAAAACCAATAATAATTAAACAAAGGTAATTAAAATTGTCTAAAGGTTTCAGTTTAAGCCATGACTTGGTACAATGTATTACAACAATAATTTTTCTTTAAAAATCAAAAGAAACCTGGCAAACAGTTGATGGGGAAATAAACATAGGGAAAAAAAAAAAAAGAAAAAAAAAATAGGAAGAAAACTCCTATTAAATATTTCTATAACAGTATAAGCAAATAACAAAGAAAAATAATAAAAAAATATAAAACACATCAACTGTATGTTATACTGCGTCTAAGTCTGGGCAATCATCCCATGAATGGCTAACAGAATGTTCAGCAAGTTCGGTCTCCGTTGTATACAGTTCCTCACATATATTACACTTGTACATCTCCGATTTATGTTTCTCAAAATGCGTTTTCAAGCTGCTTTTGTAACCAAATGCCTTGTTACACATAACACATTTGTATGGTTTTTCTGCATTTGTGTGCGTTCGCATATGTTTTAAAAGTAGAACTGGACGGGCAAATTCCTTATTGCATATTTCACAGACCTTTAAACCACGTTTAGTAATATCCATAGCTGCTATGGCAGCCTCATCGATAATTGGATATTTTGATTTTTTCACCTTCACTTTGTTCTCATTTTTAATGTCAGATATATCTTCCCCCTTCTCAAAGCTTATGTCACTTTTTTCACCACTTTCATTTTCAAACAATGTATCTGGTTCCATATTATTTTCACTCTTAACTCCTGAAATGTCTTCTTTCATTTGATTAACTTTAGTGAATTCATACATACTTTGATCATTCACCATTTTAATTTTTGCAGGACAGTTTTGATTTTCAACAACATTTTCTACCTTGATCTCAGTGCAGGAAGGTCCAACACAAGATTCAGTCTTTACAGTATCTTTTGTTTCAGAAATAGCACTAATTTCACTGAAGTTTTCAGCAAAATTCTGAGACTTAAAATGTTTTGCATCACTTGATGCAGAGTTTTCATTACTTTGATCATCGACACTAAGTTTTCGTTTATCCACTTTCCTTCTCTCATGTCTGTTTTCACCATGCTGAGTGTTAATGTGGCGATTAAGACTAAATTTCATCGAGAATGGTCTACAGCAGTAATCACAAACAAACGGCTTCTCTTTTGTATGTGTCCTCATATGATGTTTCAGGGAACTTGGGGAGCCAGTTATCTCAACTCCACATTCACAGCATTTCCTTTTCTTATAACCACTATCAACTCCCCGAATTTTATCTTTATCAAGAAAATTTGGAGTTAATCTGTCTCGTTCATCTATTTCACTTTGCTCATTTTCGTATTCATCATTTTCGAAGGAACGATAAGGAGACTGAATTCCAGGCCTATTCTCAAGTGGACTAACTGTTTCATGTGCTTTTACCTTGTCAATAATGTCCATTAAGGCTTGTTTAACAAGTTCAGTGTTGCTTTTACCCTCTTCATTACTACCTTTACTTATAATATCAACTGCATTATCTGCACCAGATTCATTTCCAAATCTAGAATTACTATCTTCCTCCATGTTTTCCATGAAAGACTCAGACTCTCCCCCTTCTAATTTGTTGTCTGGGTCTCGTATAGTAAACAAAACACACAGTTCTTGCTCACTTTTTGAAAGATGTTCTTCAGGCAAATTACCTTTGGTCATTTGAGTTTTTATGCAAGATTTAATATGTGTATGAGTGTTGCATTTTTGAGAGAATTTCTTGTTGCATAAACCACATCTAAATGGTTTCTCTCCCGTATGTATACGCATATGATGTCTCAATCCAGCCATACATGACAATACTTTCTTGCATTCTTTGCATGTACGAGCAGCAGTCTTCTCTTCTTCGGACAGTGTTTTTGCAGAACTACGTCTTTTTCCTTCTGATTTAATTTGTTTTGGTTTGGAATCAGACAGCCATTGTTCCTGTTTTAATTGACTTCCCCAGTCAGGTAGAGGTCCTACTGCTTTCGCCTCTTTGTTTGGTGATGGACTGAGATCTGCCTGAAGTGTCATATTGACTGGCTTTTCTGTAAGATCGGTGGCATAGTCTTGAGACAAAGGTAATGTTTCCCTTTTAAATGAAGATTTAAATGAATCAAAGCCAGGTAGCTGTTGTTGTTGCTGTGGATATTGGAAACCCTGATGACCAGCAGATGTGTCATTTAGATTTGAAAATACACTTGAAAAGTTTGGCAACATGTTTCCTGAGCTACTTGTGGGCTGTGTCATGCTTGAACTTGACATAGACGGTAATGAAGAGCTTGAATTCATGCTGTATTGGTTTTGTTCCAGTTCACCTTGGTAATTCTGCTGAGTTTGAACAATTCCTGGATGATGAGCATACATTTCATTTGGGTATTGACCATAACTCATGTTTAACCCTCCTGGATGATTCTCATAATTAAAATGAGGATTATATTCTCCGAGGCCCGGCGGATGATGAGGGGGAGGTGCCCCTGGATAATGTTGGTTTTTCTGATGATGCTGTGATAAATCCATTGCAATTTCATAATTAGATGTACTGACATCACTACTGGTGCTGAGCTTTCTAGACAATGGTGCAGACAAACTCTCACTTCCTGGAGTGTCAGGCCCTGACCCCACAGTCTGACCTTCAGGTCCTGAAAATTCAGGAGTCCCTTCTTTGCTATCATTTTTCTTCCGGCATGACCTAAGGTGTGTATTAAGGTTACTTCTCTGGGCGAAAGTTTTGTTACAGAGAAGACAAGAGAATGGCTTTTCTCCTGTGTGAACACGCATGTGTGTTGACAGGCTGCTAGAATATGCTAACTCCTTGTTGCATATAGGACAAATGATACTTTTCTGTTTTGGTGAGGTAAGGGGATTTCCTGGTGTCTTTGCCTGAGGTGAAACCATGTTATTCAGAAATATATTATTCTGCGGAGAGATGATTGGTGTACCTGGTGTACTTGGATGAGGCGACTGTAAATCTGTACTTGTAGAACTTGGTGATTGCATTACAGGTGATTCCAATGGTACACCTGACTGGAAGTTATGAGACATTGAATCTGATTGGTTACCTAAATGCACCACAGAATTTGGTTGGCCTATTTCAGATTCTTGCCTTGTCTTTGACTGGCTGTATAGGTGACTCTGCTCATGCACTAAGGAAGAAGGCATTGAAGTTGTTTCCTCTTGTGTTGAACCTCTAACACCTTCCTGTGGTGTTTCTGTCTTGTGAACTTGGTGAGATTCATCAGCAACAAAAGGCATAACTGTTTTCTCAAGATCACCTATGGATGGTGCTATGTTTGAATTCTCATTCTCTTCTGCCTTAATAACAGGGACTGCTGGGAAGCTATGATCTGGCCAGCTCTTTAAATCTGGATGAGCAACTGCAGGATATTCTGGATTGAGACCAGATCCTCCTAAACCTTCTTGCTGCATACCAAGAACAGCATTAGCAATCTGTGCAGGTAAACCATCTGATTCAGGGTTTGAGCTTGAACTTTTTGGGACATCAGGTTTAACATCCATAGCTGGTCCAGGTTGAAGATTAGAAGCAACGCTATGTGGAAATCCTGGTGGCTTTTCTCCATAATTTGGATAAACTCCTGCCTGACTAGCATTAAAAGTATTAAAGTTTTGGATGGATGGAAGAGATTTTATAGGACTTCCACTAAATGTCTGTGGAGGTGGAGTGGGATACAGCTGGGGTGGCGTTCTGGTTCCCAAACTGCTCATTGGTGACCTGCTCTGATAGTTATACATGGCAGGCTGCATACTTGCATAGGTCTCCGGCTCAGATTTTATCTGATGTTTATACAGAGGTGAATTGCTGTAACCCTTATAATCTTGTGAAGGAACATCAAATTGCTGAGCTGTCTCGGACATATGGAATCCATAACCCGGACTTGCTGTCAAAGGCGCTGGTGACTTCCGTGACTTTTTGGTAGGAGTTTTCATACCAGTTAATGAATTCTCTGACATGGAAGGATCAAGTTGAGCATCAGAACCTGGTGTTGTTGGTGTTACATCTTTGTGATGTTTTGCCATATGTTGCTTCATATTACCTTTAAATGTAAATGACTTGTCACAAAATTCACATGTATATGGTTTCTCACCAGTGTGAATGCGATGATGAGCTTTTAATGTTGCCGATGAAGAGTATGTTTTGTTACAGATATTACAAACATGTGACCCCTTTACCTTCTCACCTGATGGCTGTTTACTCATGTCTTCAATGTCACCTTCTTCTATAGAAGACTGTGAAGATGGAGGCATTGGTTTTGTAACAGCTAGTGCTGCAGGCTGCTGCTGGTTTACATGTAAAGGTTGACCTTGAACTGGCTGCTGTTGAAGATGATGTATTGATGGAAGAGGTGGAGCCCACTGACTTGACTCTGTCTGAGAAGACGGTAACTGGCTAGGATATTGTTGTGGAGCTTGCTGATATGGAATTTCTGTATATTTATTATCACTCTGGCTTCCATGAGGAAATGGTGACATTAATTGTCCCGTCTCAGGATTTTGTGGAGCAGGAGATGTGTAATTGTTGAAATGGGCCTGTTGTGAGAGGTTACCATCAGATGGTTGAGAGCTGGAGTTGTGAGCTAATAAATGACTTGATGATACTTGATCAGATGGTACTTTTTCTTCCTTTATATCAGCAGTATTTTCAACTGTATTGTCAGATCTAGAAGTTCCTGACCCCTGAATATGTGCCTGCTTTTCTCCGCTTGCATTTACTCCCTGGTTTGTACTAGCACTGGGTTCTGAGACTGTGGGATGGCTGTAATATGCCTTATTATCTACATGCTGTGATGTTGTTCCAGTAAAAGGTGCCCCTACTGCAGGTGGTACCCCAACTGCAGCTTGAACTCCAGATGCATGTGAGATTCCAGTTGCCGGAGTCATTTTTGACTGAGCAATATCTGGCTTTGACTTGTGGTGTATATTTTCTATGTGTCTGGTCAGACTAAACTTTTGCGAAAACACTTGATTGCAAAGAGTGCAGATGTGTGGACTTGTTCCTGTATGCATTTTCATATGATTTGTGTAGTAGCTGGCTGAGAATGATTTCTTACATATGTCGCAATACTTAGATGGATGTTTTCTCTCACCTTGGTATTCCTTTGACCTATTCTTTTGTTTCATTACGGGAGTATCAGGAGACGGTTCAGGCAATTTTGGTGCTTGATGCATTTGCTGCGGACTTGAACCAGTCGACATGGCCTCAGGATTTGGACATGTCTGTGGTTCTGGTCTGTAACCAGGATGAGCTCCCATATGAGTATATTCACTCCCATAATGTGGCTGTTGCATAGGACTCATAGGTGGGGGATATGCTCCTGGCGGATATTGACTCATTCCATGTCCATAAGGGTCATAATAAACCGGATGGTTCTGATAAAATGGATGCTGCCGATGTTGTGTGAAATCCACCCCTTGCATTCCGTAAGGACTCATTGTTAAATCCTCAGGTTTAGGAGTAGTATCGCCGGACCTCTCTTGTGCCGAGTCAGGAGTTGAAGTATGACTGTAGTTTGGATGTGGACTGGATTGCATACCCGGAAAATGAGATGCTTGATTTGATACCAGAGTCTGCATAGATGGAAGAATTCCTTGTGATTGAGTCATGGGACTTGTTTGCATACCAGGCTCAGGATATTCTTCTCCTGTGTTTCTAATCTCTTCAAAACCTGGTAGTGCACTGGGAGATTCACTGGAATTTGGTTGACCATCGGCTGGTTTAGGACCATTTTTGGGCGGGCTTTTCTTCTGTCTCACTTGAGAATGTGTTAACATATGTCTAGTACAGTTGCTTTTAAATGAAAAAGCACGATTACAGATATCACAATGGTAAGGCTTCTCCCCAGTGTGAACACGCATATGTGTTTGCAAGGCCCCAGTGGATGTTAACTTTTTACCGCAAGTCTGACACTCGTATAACTGTTTGTCCTTGGCAGGATCTTGACTTCCATCTCCTGGAGGCAAAAACTGCCCATCCATCTCCTCCACAGCCCTATTTTGATAGTGTGCTAAATTTGCTAAATGGGCACTATACATATTTTGATCATATGCAACAGCTTGTTGCCCTGGGTAAGGAGACGGAGGATAGTGTTCAAGTTGTCCTGGATACTGGGGAGGAACTGGAAGACTGTAAGGATCCCCAGGAGGCTGAACAACTGGCTGAACTTGTTCTGTATATTCAAGAGGAAGACTTTCACTGGCTGGAACAGTACCATTGCTGTGTTCCATTTGCTTTACCAGGCTGGAATTAGGTGAACTGAGATCAGAATTTCGTTCAATGGAAGACAAAGGCCCTGTGTTTAAAGAAAAGTCCCCTCTACTTTGTCTCTCTTCAATAGAGGCACTTACATTCTCAGTTTCTGTACATTTATTTGGTAAAACATTTTCATTATTTGAAAAATCACTACTCACACTTGCTCCTTTAAAATCTACATTTGATACTTCAAAACTATCAAAATCAGTGTTTTTGTTCAAAGTTTTGTTTGAATCTGATTGAAACTCTGAAGTATTTACAGGTTTATTGTCCTTAACATCATTTCCTTGACTAGTTCTTTCATTTATATCAACAGAACCAATGGTAGGTTCAGAAAAGTTTCCACTTTCTATTGTCACACCAGATACAGTCCCAACATCTGTACCCTGGTTTTTCATTACATCTCCATTCTCACATTTAGAATCAACACTCTGAACTTTTGACTCCTCTAATGCTCCATTTGGAACATTTTCCGTCTTGAGATCACTTTTTTCCATTGTTATCACATTTTCATTAGCCATGCTTTTGTCTAGACCAATTAAGTTCTCATTAACATTTCCACATGTTTCATCAGCTCCTATAACTGTCTCTTTATTTACCATAGTCTCTAAATCTACATCAGTTTCAAGTTGCTTAATTTCTAAGAAATCAGCTTCATCTAAATCAAATATGTTCCCTTCAGAACCTTCAAATGAACTATTGTCAATGTCGTTCACACTCAAGTATTCATTAATTAATTCAGCATTATCAAATGTACTTATACTCTCAGTCTCTTCTTTATCAACTTTTTCACAATTCTTTGGGTTACTAGAAAAATAGTCCTCGCTTAATTCTGACTTTACAGAAGTCTTGGAACCATCAAAATCACTTTCACTGCTTTCAACTTTCACATCAAAAGAGGTTTCATAAGCAACTGGCACTTTCTCATTACGTATTTCACACTTTAAATTCACAGAACTATTTTCCCTGCTCACACGTCTTATACTAGAACCTTTTGTTGATAAATTAACAGGACATTTTGGTTCTAGATCCTTTTTTGAAGGATCTATTTTATGTCTGTTTTGTAAATGAGTCTTTAAATTCCACTGCTTTGTAAATGCGTGATTACAAACTTTACAAACGAATGGTTTCTGACCTTCATGAACCATCAAATGGTTCTGTAATCCATATGGTGTTGTCAATAACTTTCCACATATTTTACATTCAAATCCAGAGTTTGTGAAAGATTTCTGTATAATTTTCCTCTGTCTATAAACAGCAGTTTTTTCTTTATCGGATTTTTTTCTTTTCTGTACAAAAGTTTCAACAGCAACTGGATTTTCAGATTTTCTCCCTTCCTTTTTCCTTCTCCTTTCTTCAACTAGTTCCTTTATATGAATCACATCCTTGTTTTCAGTTTTCTTTATTTTAGAAATTGGTTCTGGGTCAACTATTTCTTCAGCATCATAAACATCTTTTACATAAGCACCATTTAAAATCTCTTTTCTTAATTCATGTAACCTTTTGAATGATTTGTTTTCACGATTTCTTAATGTCATACATGATTGTGTACCTAGGGTATGATATCCAAGCTCATCAGAGCTACTTTCAACTCCTTTGTCACTATCAAAATCAGCAGAGGTACAAAGTCCAAACCTCCCACCACAATTATCTGATTCAACTTTGATAGTAGTTTCTGATTTCTCTCCACCAAATGCAAAATGGCTGTCATAAATTTGTGGTTCTATATTAGAGAAATTTCTATTATAGTCAGTTTTAAAGTTAAAAAATTCATCCGTAGTCTTCTTCACAGCAGTGTTTTCCGATTCAACTTTTCCAAACCCAAATTGACCAGCAGTGTTCTCTACTTTATTGAACTTCCTTTTCTTTTCATTCACTAAAACATTCTTTATTTTAACAACACTGGAATCACTAGAATCATTGATATGTGTATTTGTATTGTCATCTGTTTCAACTTTTACAATAGGGATATCCCCATCAATTTCATCATAACAATTACTTTCAAAAGCAGGTTTAAGACAAGGTGCTGATTCATCAATAAGTTTATTTTTGTGTTTTATCAAATTACCAACAGTGTCACTTGGCTGATCTATAAGTCCAGGTTCCTGCTTCACTTGAAGTTGGTAAGAGTATAATGTCTTTCCACCATTAACAAGAATAATGTGGGAAATGGGGCCAGATGTTCCAGATTTTGGTGAAGCAGTTGGTGGTGATGAGACTTTCCTGCTAGGCAGTCCAGGATAAGGTGGCGGATCTTTACTAAACTTTTTCAATTGTTTTGCAAGGTCTATAACATTACCAGCACAATTTGGAATCAACTGATTTAATGCACAAACCTTTGAATTTGGAAAATGTTTGTAAGTTAGGTTCAAATGAGCATCAGGTGTACTGCTATTAATTGGTACTGAGGTTTTGTTCAGTGCATCACTTACTGATGATGAATGTTTCACAGAAGTAGTTTTAAATGAGGGCTCTTTTATATGAGGTATGGCCTTTGTTCCCTGTGAAATTATATTACTTACATCAACACTTTGAGACGTAGCGAATGTTAATCCCTGAGATTCACTAGTCACTATGGTCGACGTTTTTACAACTGACGATGATAAGCCTGCATTAATTGTATCTTTTTCACAAGTCGACCATATCAAGTCATCAGTTACAGTTGGCTCAGTTTGAGTCACATGATTCACTGTTAGTACATTTTTCTGTTCAATATATTCAACTGAATCTTTCTGAACAAATTTTTTTCTGCCATATGTTTCAAGAGAATTTTTACTGCAGAATTGAAGAGAAGGTTCTTCTTGTTTCAAGTCATTTATCTTTTTACTATCAGTCTGTTTTACAACACCGCTCAGACCAATCACACGAGAAGCATCTGTATCCTTTTCTTTAGACTTCCTTGGCTTTACTTCCACAGAATGGTCTTTGAGCTCTGTGAAACTGGTATTAGGTGAAAGATGACGTTTCTGGCAGCCTTTTAAATGACATGTGTAGTTCCACTTTCTGCTGAATGCGTGCTTACAAATCCCACAAACGTAGGGCTTCTCACCTGAAATAAATAACACACGAATGACCAACCTTATATATAGCTATATGTATAGAAATAACAAAAATTACATACAGTCAACTCCGCTTATAAAGAACTCAATGGGACATTTGAATATCGTTCGTTATATCTGAAGTTTGCTTAAAGCGAGAAGCAACAACTTCAGCTGACTTGTTTGGTTGGGAAAATTTGTCTTGCAAAAAAGCTATACCCGTCACCGGTCAACAGTGTAAACAGTATTTTCAACAGTGGTTAAGTTATGCGGGCCATTTTATTGAACAATATAGTATGCACATGTACATGTATTTGATTTATGTAGACGATAATTTCACAATTTATATGCATAATTTAAACATAAACAAAATGTTGAACTACATGAACATATTCATTTAGGCACTGTCTATTCATTAGAAAGTCCAATTTTAGTATCCAAAGAATCGCCTTTCGCTTTATACCAGTTTCTGGGGTCATTGCCATTTTACAATATAATGTTACAAAGTTATTGGATTTTGACAAAGCAATTGTATTGCAATACTTTTGTGAGAACATTTTACTAACATTTTTATTCCCTGAAGCCATAACTTAACTGTGCAGTCACTTGTTTGAATAATTATCAGCCAGCGTATTTATGTACTAATCTTTAATCTAGCGCATCCCTATAATTCAATTATAATAGTTTGTTTTAACTGAAAAAATATATGTGTTTTTTGCCGTTTGGGACTTAAATGGTTCGCTATAGCCGAAAAAAATTTATTTTAAGCGAGGAAGTATTAAGCGATGTGATTTAATATAAAATAAAGAAGGAATCAACCGGGGATTTCAGAATTAGTTTGCTTTTAACAATAATTTGTTATAAGCGAGTTTGTTATAAGTGGAGTCGACCATACAAAGAATTTAAAGCAGCATGTCTCAAGATTCATGCTGATTTCATTTAAATTTTGGAAATGGATTTAAAAGTGAAATACAGCTTTAAGCATACATGTATGATGATATTAATTATGTGAACTTATTTCTACAATATTATTTAAGGGTCTCCACTAACGTTTTTTGGCATGATAGTACTGAAACTATTTTTTGATGAAAGTCTGGACCAGTAACTTATAAGCATATTTGCTCACTCTGTTCTTCTTCCATAATTTCTTTGTGAAAAATGTCCGAAAAAATGAAAAGCATTGAAATCTTTTAGTTCAAATGGTCCTAAAAAGGAAGAAAAATTATGATATTTATTTTAATTCTGTGAACATTTCAATTGAATATCTCAAGCAATAATTGAGATATTTGACTTTACAAAAAACTTTTACCAAAATTTCTACGTTAAAAAGGGGCATAATTCTGTCAATATTGTAGGCAGAGTTATCCAACTTGTCTTTATTATCTTTTGCATATATTATTCTTTTGTCTATATAAAAAATTCTTCAAAAAACGTTCTTTGGCTTTTTGACCTCAGTGGATTTCATTTAATTAATGATGTAAGAGAGCTAAGTCTCTAAAATGAACAACTTTATCATACAAGCTTGGAGAATTATTGCATATACCAGGTATCTCCAGTCATTTTTAAACTATTTGTAACTAAGGACTTATTCTTGTTGAAACACAGAGCAAAATGTATGAAATGACAAACAATTTTATAACAGAAAATTTACAGTTTTACAATATATGTACATTTAATGAAACTTAAAATGTCCAGCTTTGGTTATGGTAACAAAAGAATTATTTTACTTTGGTATTTTAGTAAAATTGAGGTAATTTATTCATCAGAATATCGTAAACCTGGTCTTGAATAAACACAATCATTATCTCAAATCCAGTATGAACCAGGGTTTGAAGATACAGTCTATTCCACTAATAATGAGATCGGTTTTAACAAGGAACAATGCATAGTCCTAACGATCTCTTTTTATCAGAAGTTGACTGAATCTTTAAACTGAAATATATAAACTTTCTAACTAAAAGAACAAAAACATAGAGGTAAACTTGAAACACATGCAAAACTTGAAAACACTTAACAAGTTGTGTCATTAAAGGTGGCACATGTCCCACCCACACAACTCCCATATGTTCTGCCTAAACCCCTCCAACATGTTCTGCCTAAACCCCTTTGCATGTTAAGCTATAACTCCTCCCACATTTTCCGCCCAAACCCCTCCCCCAAAAGATTATATTGAAAAAGGAATCGTGCAAGGAATGCTGCACATTGGACCAGATTATTTCAGACATCATTTAAGAATGATAAAGAATCACACACGAAAAACGTTTCATTTTAGGCTTTTTAAATTTTGTGTCGTAGACGCTGTCCTGGCTCTTATCCTAGTTTCATGTTAAAATCTTTCATGGTTTTGAATTCATTTTACTTAATAAACAATTTTCATAAAAATTCTAAGAAAAAAGTGGCGTAATATAGCTTTCAGAAAAATGCCACTTGTCTAACAACTTTTCATTGTCATGGATAACAAGAATTTCAAAGAACATGTCAATATCTTTCTTAGTTTTAAAATCATTCTATTTTCAAAAGGGCTTTGACAAAAATTCTAAGCCTTTGTGCAGATAAAATGTTGGTGACAGACAGACAGATGGCAGACAGCTGTAACAGTTGATACTTTAATCTCACATTGTGCTAACACAAGTTTATAAGCTGAATGAACTCGTAAAAATCAACAGTTGATAAAAGATAACAGTGCTTTTACCGTGTGACATTTCTGTAAAATTAAAAGCATTATAGTCAATTGCTTGAAATCACCAAATATTAAAGTATCAAAAAATAGAAATCCAATCTCAGAAATGTTTTTGTTAATAAATGTAGTGTGGCTTTGAGAGCATGTGATGACTGGAATACCCCAATATCTGAATACCAGTGGGGCTATGCTGTACTTAAATATTTCATCCTTTACCTTTTTTCCCTTACAGGTAATTATGCTTCTTTAGCTTAATATGCTGATTACAGTTTTCTACTCAGTACACATTATGCATACAACTTTCGAGATTCAGCAAAATGACGAAATGACATATCCCCCAGCCTATTTTATCTGACCTGAATAAAGGAAATTATGCTTTCAAGTTTAAATAATACAACTCCTTAAAGTCATAGTTGTACTTACAATTAGGAAAACACAACTTTAAATGTTAAAAATTTCTGAAATATTCCATTCTTCTTTGAGCAGTGGTGTAACAAGTAGTAAGAGGCAGTTTAAAGTATTAACCTTGTCACAAGTTGTGTCCCTAATTTTCCTCCCGAGTGTTCCTTAAAATTTCATTCAGTGGACCCTTTGTAACTAAAATGATTTGCTCTAGAAGCAGTGTTCGAAATTAGCAGAAGTCCGATAGCCCCTGACTACTAAATTACTCACCGGGCTACCAACTTTGCACAGTAACAAGCCCAACCAGGCTATACATATTTTCAGAGGCAATATAAACAACTGTTTTGAACAAATGAATTGTGCTAGTGAAATGTCTTTTGGGCTAGTGAATATTCCAATCTAGTAGTCCTACCAGCCTAGTGGATTCAAATTCGAATTTCTTACACTGCTAGAAGCATCACTGACATTGAATTTTAATAGATGAGAAATTGTGCTTGGGAGTAACAAGTTTCTATCTAATTTCCATAAGAGTACTAACTACTTTTGAAAGATAACTCAAGTTGAAAGAAAAATAGATAAATATATTAAGGCTGCCTATAATTTTTAATGCACTGTCATCATTCGAAATTTTCATGGATTCTTATTAATCATCAGAATAATAGGAGCTATTTCTTTTCATTAATATTTTTTTAAAATGTTACATGTACCAAATAAAACTCCAGTTTTCTGTTATTTACCTGTATGAAGTCGTCTATGTATGTTTAAACCTTCTGACGTAGTTAAAACTTTATCACAGTCGGGGCATTGGTATTCGCGTTTCTTGCGTGGCCTCTGTTCCATCTGTGGATCTGAGGGCATGAGGGTGAATTCGACACGACCATGGCACAATGATGGTGACAGCAGTTCTAGTGGAGGGCAAATGAAGCATCGGGACTACACAACAATCAAGCTGATTGACTTACTGATTAACGTATACTGAAAAATAACACAAGATCATTTCTTGAAATTCTTCTACAGTTTTCAACACATAAAAATAAAGAATAATGGTTTTGTGAATGTGACAGTAATAAATTTTGAAACGTGTTGTGTTGGCACTTATAAGTTCAATACAAGCATTGATTCACCTTGGCATAGCCACCAAATTACTATGTGTGACAAAACTGCTCTTCAAGTAATTAAATTAAATTGATTTTTTGCTTGTAAAGCCTTTTTTTGCATGCTCTTCACATGGATTTCACTATTAAGTGATATTAAGTTATTCTCGTCACAGAGCCCCTTAATTTTACTTAAAAATAAATTCTCTAGGCATGTAACTTCGTAATAAGTATTTTTGCAAGTAACTGTAGGCAACACTGTCATAATAATACACAAAGGTCCACCTTTGACTTTCCTGCACATTATAGTCTACATGTTTCAAATAATATAGGAAAATACCAACCAAAGAAAGCCTATTTCATATTTCATTTTTTTTACAAATTGAGATGATTACAATATTTTTTGTTCGAAGTTATGCATCATCAATGCATGCAAGATTTTCCACCCAAACACACAAACAAAAAAAAGACTTTTATCATTCATGAAAATTTCTAAAAAGTCAATATTGTACATGCCAAAGCAGATTTTAATACATGGAGAAAACTTGAAAATAAATTGCCTAGTCTTTCTTCCATTTTTCTTTAACCTAACAAGGACCAATCAGAAAGCCTGTTATATATCCATTATTAAAAGATTTTATTTAGCAACAAAATGCTTCAGATCAATCAATGGAAGATTAATACATGTACCTGTACTTTTTGCTACAAGCAGGTCTTTTGGACTATTTTTTTTTTTGGGGGGGGGGGGGGGGGGGGGGGGACGGGGGGGAGAGACAGTGTCAAAAACTGTTAATGGCAAACCAATACATGTACTTTTTTATAAAATATGGAAAATCAATACATGTTTTTTTTATAAAATAATCTGTATACAAACTCCTGTACCTTTTTATTCATTCAACACTTATTAAAATCAGAGTTAAATGCTTTTTTGATTTCTGAAATATCTATACCTTTTAAAATAACTGGGTTAGTATTTTTACCTTGGAAAATTAAACAGGGTTCATAACACACAAAAGAATTCATCTACTTCTAAATCACCCATTCTCCTGAAAATGCAAAAAAAAACACATGCATAATTAATAAGTTAGTATTGGAATTTCTAAAGCTCTAGGTTTTGCAAAGTGCCATACAATATAAAAGCAACTTTTTATCACTGACAAGAAATTGACTTGCTTGAGGGAAACAAATCTTAAAAACAAAGATTACATGTATATAAATATAAAATATTTGAACATGAAATAATTTGAGGCCAATGCATGCAAAGTTTAGTAGATGTTGTATTAACAAATTTACAAAATCAATTATATCATCTATGCAACTGTAGCTATGGTAATCAGTTTTCAGATATCAATTTTACATTAATTTATCAATACATGTATATCTAGTATTATCTACAAGAACATAACACAAGTATCTTATATAAATTTAAAACCAAAATTAAATTGTATTAATTGATTAAAATTATACATTGCAACAGGACAACAATTTTCATTATTGCTAACCAGTAATAACAATTTTCATTAAGGATTTTGGGATTGGGTTGCACAAACCATGCATGTAGTTTAAACTAAAATACACATACATTCTCTCTTAAAACTAAAGCTACAAGCCTTCATACAATGCAATTATTTTCAAATCTTTAATTAGGCCATCCTTAAAAAAATGTTTGTTTGCAGTAACCCGACACAGAATTTTCAAGGTGGGTAGGTAGGTCGATTTTTTTTTTTTTGATTTTTTTTTTTTATTGAACTGTACTCCCAAATAAACATGGAATTTCAAAATGCTGAACAATATTTGCTTTGATAATCTGGTAACAATTAATAAATTGATAACTGAATTCTAATTTAATAAGAACTACATTTTATTTCTTCTATTAACCTTTAAAAGAACGAAAACAAAGCACAAGGCATAATTTTCTGATTCAAAAAAAAAAAAAAATTATTCAGACCATGAAAAAAAAAAATTGAGTAGGGGCAAATTTTGTGAGTTGGTCGCGTTACTGCAAACAAACATTTTTTTAAGGATGGCCTTAATTGGAAATATATTGCCAAAATAATTCATTAAATTAAAGGAGGATGACTAAATAAACATAAATCAAATAGTTCAGACATACATGTATATATCAGATGCATTTACAAGATATTGTGAAATACATTAAAATAAAAATATGAACTTTTTGTACGTTCTTTTTTTCATTCCCTGATTTATAAGCCAACATTGAGTGAAAAGCGATAACACCTTTCATTTTGTTTTTGCACAAATAGATAATTACTCCAGAAAAAACAGGATAAATGATCTGAAATTTGACACCCAAGTGATTGGCATATTCCTACGTGAAATGGTGTAAAATCTAAAAAAAATAAAAATAAATCAATAAAAATTCAAGTACAGCCATGTCAAAAAACCTTTGTAAAGTCACTCTAAGAATTTTAAATTCTGACTTCAAATCTCAAGATCAATTATGATGGCATGAAACTTATTGTTCAATGACAAAAAAAAGCTTCCTTTTCTCTTGTTTACAATATCAAAGGATATATAATAAGTACTTTTAAGCAATTAAACTATTACTAAAAAAATCATGCAGATTTTATTTATTGCTTTTTCAAGGTACAACAACAGTACTGTCAAGGCTACATGTCAATCATTTGATAAGGCTTCCTCATAGTCACTAGTGGAAATCTTACGTAATTTGCCCATTGAGGAAGTGGACAGACATTACTTGTCCACAGCTTAACAGCTTGCATAAATAGCCAGACATTTTTTCATGGGTGGTGGAATGGTCTCTTGCCTTAAATTTCATAAAGGAGCAATAGACAAGTATCAAGCAAATAAATTTAATAAAAATATTTTTTTGCTATTTTTTTCTTGAGGATATTGAAGGCATTGTTATTTTATCTTTTCACTTTCATTTCTTTTGACAAACAACAAACAAATAAAAGTCTGCTCCAACATTTTGATAGAAACAGCTGTATATGTAGCAGGGAAAACAAATTTGAGTGGCAAAATTGGCAAAGAGGTTTAATATGTTCTAAAGCTGATATTTATTTCTGTTTGCAACTGTAATTAAATTTTAATTCTTTCTAACTATTTACTGCATCCCAAGGGATACAGACTTTCATTTTGTAGGTCGGTTTTATATGTTCTTCATATACTGACAGGAGTGGATTCCGACACAGGTATTTACTTCCAATAAAAACCCTGTTTGTACTAATTATTGTCCTTCAGAAGCTCTTTACTTCTAGGTAATACATACATGTGTGCTTTAATATGGTCATACACTAGTTCGTTAACACTATCCCAAAAATGCCTGATATAGTTTTTTTCTTTGTTCAGTGGTTATCAATCTATCAACTCCTTTTTAATCAACAATATTCGGATGTCAAGAGTGCTATACCTGACCTCTTCTACTAGCGATAATCATTTGCAGAGTAAACATTAGAATATCCAAAACTTCAGCATTTGCTGCTGAATATTGCATATCACTTTGAAAATAAAAATTTTAAACACCCAAGCTTTCATTTGAATTAAATCAGCATCATTACATATCTGTCTGGACACATGGTACTGTAGTGTGATTTTGATACTCTCCTTGATTGACCTCAGATATAAGTGTCAACATAATCAGAAATAAACAAACTACCTAGCTGTTCCGTGCGAAATATTCAGATCTCCAGGGTTCGACACTAACTGTTTTAACAAGGGATCCCATAGGAATCCCTGAGATTTAATTCAGGGATTCCTCCTAAATGTCAGGGATTCCTCAGATCAAAGTAGTAAAATATAAGGGCGAAGAATAACAAGGGAGTGCAGCAATCCGATTTCAAATTCTTTTTTTAAAGACCACATACATGATATATTGCCTTGTTTCAGATGCAGAAAATGTAGTTTATGAGCACTTTGGGTTTTTTTGTTTGCTTGGATTTTTACGGCATGTCAACACATAACTGGCCATATGAGCCCTTTGGAAATATTGCTGTTTAAAGTTTTAAAAGTGTTTCAAAGTGTTTACTTTACTAGTATATATATAATTGGACTGCTAAGATAAGTTAAAACATAATACATTTTTTACATGCACGTAAACAGAATAATATTAAGCTCACCCACTGAAAAAGAGTTCGATTTGAAAATAAAACCTGTTTTCTCCCTGGGGTTGATAATTGTGAACCAGTTTCTGTAAATGAAGGTATAATGCAAGTGACTGGGCAATGGGACTTAGGGTTTGAACTTTTGAAGTTAAGTAGGAACTGGGGAAACATTTTCCCAGATAGCTTAGGGTTCACTGAAATAGAGCCAACATATCATCTGTAGATCTTTAAAAACTTACAGGTAATGATTAGGCTCCATATTCCAGTAAGTTCTGGTATGGATAACTTTTGGAAAATATTTACTTTCATGTCATTTAAAAAGAAATGTTTAATTATGATCACTTTGAAAAAATTAGTGATTTTCAGCTTACTGTACACTTTTTGTGTTTAATAGATTGTTGAAAATTAAATATTTTGTTAAATATTTACTAAAGCTAAAATATCAAGAAAAAAGTTTTGTTTGCATTACAAGTAGGGTACCTTCAAATGATTTCGTTTTTAAAAGTAAAAGGTTGCTCCAAGTCCATGACAGGATGTGTAATATCCAAATTTATTGTTCTCAATTTTTACACTGAAATGTCCGATTCTTTTCCTCCCTGTGTGTATTGATTTTTTTTAAGTTTTGACATATGCCACATCAAAGGCACTCACCGCATACAGCAGTCATGTAGTTCAGAACACTGATTGGCCCAAAGAACTGTCAGATGAATTATACGTCATTTGGTGTATGTTTCACCTAAGGATTTTTCTATTTTTTTGACGGTAAATTATGCGTGACCTTGATTGACCTTAGAACACTTCAGTCTTTAGTTAGACAATATATTTTAGCATTTAAGGCTGCAGAGTTTCAAATTTATGATTTTAAACTGAAAAGTATGGATTCTTTTTATTCTATTTATTAATTAATTTTAATTATACTTTTGCTGTACTACAGGGAGAAAAAAATACATCAGTAATCTTTTTGTTTTTTCACTTTTTTTTACGAAAATTTACAATGATCATAAATGCCAAATTTTGGCACACAAAAAAAACAAACATGTACATTTTTGTACTTGTTAACTTCGTAGCTACCGCCGGCAAAGCCAATCTGCACATATCTGAAGTACACACCGCTCGTGTAAAAAATTATACGATAATTATATTTCTTTCTTGAATGTTCACAACTTAATATTATGAAGTCAATGCATGATATAAAATTATTTAAGAATGTTTCTTTAGCCAAAATATTTTTCATTATATATCGCAAATAAGTTGATAGCAGTCACTGCACAAAGGAAATCTGACGTACATGATTCAAGAGCGTAGATAATCTGGTTCCCAGCGTACTTCTGCAAGATAATGAAATGGTAAGGGCAGGTAACCCAGGCTAGAGCGTAGATTTTACCGGCGGGATTTTTCTTTTCTTTCTTGAACATTGCAGTTGTGCCAGTCTTTATTAACACTTTTCTTGAATATTTGTGACTCAATGATATTAATTCAGACAATTTCAAAAATTTACACAGCAATTTTTCAGGGATCCCAACGGAATCCCCAGCTAGGAATCACAGAGATTCCTCCCGACTTTTTGGGATCCTCGGAATCCCGGGATCCCGTTAATGTCGAACCCTGATCTCTACCTTTAAAATTATGAAATCTGTGAGGAAAAATGTTCAAAAAGTGTCCGGTTGATGGTCCCAGACCAGTAACTAAATACACATAAATATCACATTTTATATCTCTATCACCAAGCTGTTGCCTCTATATGCCAAATAACTTTCCAACAGCAGATTTTAAAAAGAGGCCTCCCATGGACTGGAAATATTGGTATATGAAATTATTCATAAGCATAGTCAACAAAATTCGGAAAAAAACAAGGCAATTAAATGTTCCCAGTTGTAAAGGACAGCATTTTTTATTTACTTCACATAATTTCACATGTCTACAGGCAATTGCAGAAAAAATAATCTTGTCTGCCGGAAAGTAAGGCATAACATTTCAGCACCCCTGGATATTACTTCAATTCCGATGATTGATTATTTGAATATTTACAAACTTAATACATGTATTTAGATGTGCTTATGCTTAGTGTTGGGTATCGGACTCAAAAATCACTATCGATAATCGGACCACCCAAATCGATTGTCTGCCGATAGTATTATCGCATTTTTATGGTCCTTTTTTCTTTTAAGGTACCAATCCTTGTATGTATTTTTTTATACCATAGTGACCATATTTTGAGAATAAACTCTTGTCTCCAAGATTAAAGTAAGATTTACTCTTTGAATTCAAAACAAACAACACAAATACCTAATACAACTTTGCGACAGGCAATTTTTGTATTAAACAATGTACAACTTTATGGCAGTCAATATTAGTACCAGTCAACAGGTCAAAATATTGTAGATCAGTTATTTAACTACAGTAGATATGTATGATGTCATTATTATTATGTTATTTATAATATTATGTTATTACACACTATAATTTTCTAAAGTACATGTAGTATTAACAATATAGTATAAGCAACTCAGTGGTGGTAGAACACTGAAAATAATCGATTTTTAAAAAGGATTATCGATTGTGGCCGATTTTGGGTTGTTCCGATTAGTTATCGATTTTCAGAGACAATCGGAACAACACTACTTATGCTTATAATTTTTAGTTGCTTTAATATCTTACTTCCATGTACTTAATTGTGCTTATGCTTATATTTTCTTTTTAGCTGCTTTACTTTTGTTTAGTTCATATACTATTGTTTGTCGGAAAATAGCTCATGAGCTAATGTTTTCTGTTTATATGTATCCAACGTAAAATAAATTTTCTTGTATCTTGTATCTTGTACCAAATTTAAACAAATTATTATAGACATAATATGTCTATTATATATGTGATTTATGTCGTCATTCTCATGTAAGGTAACACAGAATCAGTATTCTACCACAAGTAAACTCTATGTACAAATAAATGCAGTTTCAAATTATTATCTATATTTTATATCTTCAAAACTTAAAATGACAACAAATAGTGCATTGGGGAATTATGCCCAAATATGCAACATGCCTAAACATGAAAAACAATCATCAAGTAGTTTAAGCGAAGTATATGATTCCTATGGGTCAGAAAGTGTTACAATATGCTTCTGTACTGTAATATAATTGATATACAATGTTTTAACAACATTAATTTGCTTTAAATAGCCATTGTGTTGGTATGGTAGCGTCTCCCTGGAATTTTGGCAAAAACGCAAAAGTAGGTCAAGATGAAATCAAGTATTTCTGCAAAACCTCTTCATTGTTCGTTGGTATTTTACAAAATTATGAAAGTCTGAATACTACCTAATACACTTACCATGGTAATAAAATGCTCACGTTTATAATATGTACTGATTTTTGTGTAAATAAAATGTTTGTTGCGTTTTTGTTGTGCGATAACCTCCGCTATGCAAATGGCGAAGAGTATTCTAAAAAGCGTTGATCCGAACCCAAATAGTAATATTTTCGCGGAAAGAAATTAATGACCGAAAAGGAGTGGTATATGCTATTGAAATATGCGTCACCCTTTGACTGTTAAAGGTCCATTATTCCCCAGAAATGCTTTTGTATTTTTCAAAAGTTTTTTTTTCTTTTGGTGGCCTATTATATCTTCCAAAAAATTACATATATGCTATTACCTGAAGCCTTTTTTGCTTTGACAATTGTACAGTTATAGTAAGATAATTTATTGTTTTGTATTGAAGTCAAAATAATTTTTAGGACAAATTATTGCCTATTTAAAAAAGATTTTAGGAAACTTCATTAATAAGTAGGAGAATTAGCATATAATATCTGTGATCCACTAGAAAGGGTAGCAGAGACTGAGTTACTTTGAATATAGACTTTTCCATTTGTTATCTCCCCTTATTGTTCGTACACTTCCATTCTAGCTAGATAAAAACAGACACATGTGAATTAAATTTAGACCTTTAAAGATATACTATGCTCATCCTTAAGTAAAATATTATAATAACAGAAATTTAATGAAATCTAATTTAAAATTTAAGATAGTAATTATCAATATTTTCTAATATCAAATTTGAACATAGTATATTTTTTAAAGGAATTTAAATAAATACATGTGTATCATCAAAGTACCAGTTTCCTGGTGTGTCTGATTCATCTCCATATTTCCGAGCTTTTTTACCCTCACACTGCATGAACCTTAGCTACCTGTATAGAACCAGGCCATCCTGTACATCTACACAGTCTGATTAGGCTCTATACTGTGGATAGCTCTATTTTGTTTTACCTTTATATTGAAATCCCTTCAATTTAATGGAATGTTCCATTTTCAAAGCAGGGTAAATCAATCAAACAAAATCTGCAGGTTCAGGGCTAAGAATTTGTCAACCCATAATTTATGGTACAAGAAAAGTAATTAATTTCTGTAGAAGTCATTAGTATGTGCCTGAGGAGTCTGATAACTCCATGAAGTCAGGTTCTTTCTGTATTCCTGTTATCATTTGTATTATCAATAATCTGTCTCTATAGTCAAATTTACTTTAATACAAGTCATGTCTTTTTTTGAAAATCTAACCTTCACATCCCCAAAAAGTATTTGTTTTGTAGAACTTTTGCTTAGATTTTTCATTTCAGACTTAGTATAAATATTTGATGAGTTTTTATTTATGTTGAAAGAGTTTAAGTCATAATGCCACTATTAATGCTTTGATGTGTAAGGATCCAGCTCCCTCCTTCCATTTATCAACATTCTATTTTCTTTTTTTTTTTGTTGGATTTTATATCACACAGGTTATATGGCAATTTTCCAGCTTTACTGGTTGAGGAAGACCTCAGGTGTCCCTTCTTGTATTATTTCAGGCAGTAGCTGATACCTATGTAGAACTAGCCACCTTACACGAGCTGACTGGATAACTTCCTTACATGAAAGGATTCAGAGCCCCTAACCGGATTCGAACCCACTGTTGTGAGGGGCAAGTAATTAAAGTTTGAGGCCTTAACAACTTGGCTTTGGACTCCCATAATTCTATATACATTTTGTAATTTTGAACTTTGACATTATATTTTAGGTTTTTACTACATAATGGTAAAAAAGATGTTGATTTAAACAATTTCTATCATGCAACAAGAAAATGCTAAAAAAATTGTTACTTGAATTTGTCAACCTTTCTAAGTTTGCTTGCATTCAGAACAACTTTGTCTGCTAATGATATTATCAAAACAAGACCTGTTGGTTGACAGTGTGCTCCACTTTTCTCAGTGCTGGATAGTTAAATACAAGCAATTTAGAAAAAGGTATAGAACTTTGCAAAAAATAATTGTAGGATTACCTTCCCTTCTAAAATGGCGTCCTATTATGACAATAAACAAGTACGCAAAGTTTGAAGTGAATAGCTTTTATAGTATCTGAGGAAATGGACTTAACAAAAAGATTCTGATGAAAGGGTCATGACAATAGCTCCACCTTTTTTTTCTTCAAAAAATGGAGCTAACAAATGTGGGAAAAGGAATAAATAAGGAAAGACAAATTTTTTATGATAAATAATTGATTTTAATCTGTTTATCTGTGGATGCCCAGCAACTCATAATTTTATATGATATCAATGAATAATTTACATAATCACCCTCAAGTTCAACATCTAAGCATATTTACTGAACATAATATTTCATGCATTTAGTCATAATTACATTTAGCCATGAAAATAACTATTCAACCATGTAAGAAACAATTTAGCCTTGTAAATAACCATTTAGTCTTTTAAGTAACCATTTAGCAATGTAAGTAACCATTTATCCTTTTAAATAACCACTTAGCCTTGTAAGAACATTAATTTATGTAAGTAATAATTGAGCCATGTAAATAACTATTAAGTCATGTTAATAAACATTAAGCCATGTGAGTTGACATCAGGTCATGTAAGTTACTGTTCACATATGTCAATAAACATTTAACGATTTAAGCTATGTTTTGCCATGAAAGTAATAATTTGACCACATAAGTAGAGTGCTCAGCTTACAAAAAATGATTTGGCCATGTAAGTAAACACTGACAGTACAGGCAAATATATATACATGTAATCTGAAATTCAGCCACTCAGACTTAATGTTAGCTATCACTGGTAAAAATCTAGCAACATGGTCAATTCATTTAGCCATGTAAAAAATAATCAATATGTCCAGAGTAGTGAAAATTTAGTCATGTAAATGAACATTTCTTACCATGTAATTAAATCAATTATAGTCACATCAAACAGGTATTACTGTCTGGTGATTTACAAAATTGATGACATGTACATCTATCTATTCTCTAAAATTTTAATAAATACTGACACAAATTGATGAGAGGATGACAATTTGAAACAATTTGAAACAATGAAACAAATATGCATAAAATCAAAGTTGAAAACAAAATGTATATAATTTCATTTCATTACCATTGGAACATTAAATCATATGTCTGTACATGATTATCTAAAACAAAAATGACAAAAACAACAAAAACAACTTCTCTTTCCATGATATAATGAACATTTTCTTTGTAAAATATTATTCTTTTTTTTTTTCAATATTCTTTTTTTTTTTAATTATTTCTCATACAGCTTCTATAACTATTCATTAATACAAAACCTTAAAAATGATGTCAGTACAAATATTTTTTCACACTTTCAACATAATAAGGTTTTAAAGTTTTCTATACAATTTTTTTTTTCAATAGCAAATATCTATATCTTTTCCTATATATATATATACATATTTATTTTTGTACCTTTTTTGTGTGTGCAATATTTAATATTTTTATCATGACAATATATACAGGTAAATGACAAAATTAATCACAGTAAAATTTCCCCATTTTATCCTGTTAGTTATGTAAAAATGAGCAAAAATAATCAAATATGAACACAAAATGTAGAGCTTACAAATGTTATGTATGATGAAATCTGTTTATTTTTAGGTAATTCAGCAATACGCTAAAACAGGATTAAGATGATTGATTAACCAATTAAATAATCACAACAATTATGACCGATGTAGCTTCAGTCGAGTGTACCTTCAGTGCAATTTAACCAGATTCTATTTTTAGTGTTGTCTGCTTAAATTTTAAGTATTTCAATATTAAAACCACTCTTGTTACAATGGACTGTTCCATATTCAAAGCAGGACAATTCCATTATAAAACTGTGGCAGTGTTAGGGTTAACATAAAAAATTTCCAATTAACAGTGGAATAAATTCTCCAAAACATTATTTAGAACAACCAAATGTGACACAAAATATAAGAAATACTGAAAAACATTAAACTCCCTAGACTAAAATACAACTAAAACTCAAAACAGACTAAAACTCAACGCAGATATAGCACAATAGAATGAATAGATATTATCTTGCACTCGACAAGGCTTTACACTTATTTAATATTGATATACATGTATTTACCAAGTTGAAATGTGATTTTAAGGGAAAAACCCACATTTTGCCAAGTTCCAAGGTATCTCTTTTAATATTAATTTTCTCAGTTACTTCAAGACGTTCAGGCATTTTATTCCTCTATGCACATACATGTACCTTGTTAAGAATGTTTAAGACATAAAGCAGTTATCTTATTTATCTCATTTTGTTAACTTTAAACCTGCTGAATTTGTGTAAATGGATTTGCCTCGCTTTGAATTTGGAACAGTCCATTTGAAAGTTTAGAGATTTTACTATCAAAATAGATAACTTGAAGAGCCTAGTCAGACAAAAGATGTGTCCTTAACTGGTCAGTAAAGGCTTATCACTCACTTTCAGTTCCAGCTGGTTAATGACATTCTTCGCTTCAATGGATAGTTCCCGATTTTTACAATATTTACCTCCCTTGCCAAAAATGGCAGCCATTTGTAAGAGATTTTTTATCTTAATTTATTAAGCATGATACATTTGGAATTACCCCCAAAATGGCGGTCAGTGGAGGTAATAATTGCTCTGTGAAAAACACATCATTTCTTATTTAATAACTTACAAAATTAAAAATGTAATATATACAATATATGAAGCACAAACAAAGTAAAGTTTTACTTTAGGAAATATATTTCACAACTGACCTTAACCGAGATGCAGAAAATGAAAATATTAACATCAATATTATTCCTGGCAGATTAATTTCTCATGGATTTTGTGGTTTACGTCAATCAAGTCCTGTTGAGCAAATTTATGTTTTTTGCCTTGCAACTGAATTCTATGAATTTACGACCCAACAAATTTTCTTTTTGTCAGCAAACCATGAAATTTATGCCCTTACATTTAACTAATGATTTCACAGAATTTGATATTTTAAGTAGCTTGGCAACACAAATTTTTTGGCAATATCCAGTGTTCTCATGTACAGGCATTTATTTCACTCCAAAACAGAACAACCTTAAATATGAAATATTCTCTATATACATACAGACAAGTAATTCTTAATAAGCAAACATAACCACTCAGCTCAAAGATTTATTATATAAGAACACTTTAAAAAGAGCTTTAAATTGAAAGGTAAAAACTTAATAATTGTGAGTCCAATATGGAACAACAACAAAAATTTTCATAAACACTTGAAGCAGATAAATAACTGCACTTTTATTTAGTAGATACTCTAATAATGTTTTGTGGTAGAATACACAGTACAATCTATGTAACTTTATTCTCTTTAAAATTCCGATAAATAAATTAAAATTTCAATAAGACAGTGATATATATATATAAAACTTAATTTATTTATTGTATAGATATATATACTTTCAAATTTTTAAGTGTGAATAAAATAGAGCCTTTTGTCACCCAAAATGGCCAAAAATGAAATATCTTGTATCTTACTGATGGAATAATAAGTTAAATATATCACAATAAGTGATGCACAATAACTGATAAAACTCAGTAACTGATTTATATAAGTATAAAATTAATACACATTCTCTGATCAAGAATAAAATTTTGGTATCTTTCAAGAGCATAATTCCTGAAAGTAAGCATCTGTCAAAGTTATTTTAATATTCGACATAAATATATTATTACTCATCATTCAGCACTTTTTTTATCACAAATAAAAGAAAAGCCCACAAGATTTCAGTGGCAAAATAATTGGCAGCTTTAAAAACTTTAATGTGATACAATTTATATTTCCGTTGAGTTCATTTTATAATTCTGTGTAATTTTAAAAGCTCCTGAAGATGAACGCCCCACCCTGTCGCAATCCTCTGTGCAAAATAGCCCTGTCCACTAAGGACAAACAATAATTCTATCCCAATTGTTACATAACATAATCACCTGTTTATTGTTAACAACTTGAAATATATATAATAAATAACAACTTTAAGAAAATAATTTACTGGCTAACACAGACAACTAAAGTTAATCAAATAATCCAGCTAGTCTCCAAGCAACAATTATGCTATGATGTCAATTCAAAATGACATCTTCCTGAATTTAAATTAAAACTTTCATACATAAGATACACAAGAAAAAATAAAAGATTAACAATAAAGATCAAAATGCATTTAATTACTTTGCATATTTTTTTATTATGTACAATAAAACTTAACAGAAAATATTTCAAGCAATGGGGCATATACCTGTAACAAGGAATCATTGCAACATTCCTCCATGTCTAAATATTAAAATATCTTTTAACAGCCACAAAAAAAAATTACATACAACAACATTTACAATAAAAAGATACAGGGAGGTAATTTCACCCATAATTTGCTGAATTTCTTAAACAGACTTGCCCAGTTTCCATTTTAACACCAAAATGTATTTTTTATAAGTCAGCCAACAGTGTCAAGCCTAGATGTACAGGCTGGCCTGGCTCTATACTGGAGGCAAAGGTTAATCAACAAGAGCTGTCAGAAGGACAGCGCGCTCGACTTTTTTAGTGCTTGCCTATAAAACAAAACTTTGACAGTTAAGGGCACACAAGACTTTAACTAGGAATTTCTAAGTACAAATCAAGAAACATTTTCACAGAGTTATCTTCTCTTGCTTACAGATAGGTCTCATGATGGCACATAAGAACTCCAACTTCCAAAGTAATATCTCAAATGGTTAAGTCAACAAGTGGACAAGAATGAAAATCTTAACTGAGTTTCTAAGTCAAAAAGGGCCATAATTCAAATAAAATCCTTAACAGAATTACCTTCTCCTGCCCATGTTTTGGGACCATGATGGTAAACAAGTATTCCAACTTTCAAATTAATATCTCAAACAGTTCAGTCAAAAAGTGGACTGGTACTAAAAACTTAACCAAGATTCTAAGTCGATAAAAGGCCTTAATTTTTAAAAACAAATCCTTGACAGAGTTACCTTCTCTTGCGTACAGATGGGGGTAATGATGTGAAATAGCATTAAAAGTTTCAAAGCAATATCTCAAAGGGTTAAGGCAATAAGTGGATTTTACCCATATTCAATGTATTTTCTGGGCATAATTCTGTCAAAAACCTTGACAGAGTTATGTCCTCTTGTCTGTTGATGAAGGTCGTGATGGTAAACAAGTATGGTCAGTTTCAAAGCAATACCTCCAATGGTTTTGAAATAAAGTGAGGTGGTACAAAAAACTTAACCAAGCTCAATACACTTTCTAAGTCAAAAAAGGGCCATAATTCTGTCAAAAACCTTGACAGAGTTATGTACTCTTGTCTGTAGATGGAGGTTATGATGGTGAACAAGTATGGTAAGTTTCAAAGCCATACTTGTAATACTTCTGAAATAAAGTGGGGTGGTACGAAAAAACTTAACCAAGGTGTGACGCCAACGCTAACGCCGACGCCGACGCCGGGGCGAGTAGGATAGCTCCCCTTTTCATAGAAAAGTCGAGCTAAAAAGGGGTTCCAGCAAGACATGACTTAAGAAATATCAGTTAAAAATTGGTTGCATCAAGGTAGGTTTGCATTATTGGTTTCCTTCTTACAATCACTTAGGAAGATGTAAGTCAAGAGTGTTAGTACAGTGGGATATGTAATTCTCTTCAAAATCAGAAAAAAAAAACTTGCAAATTTTGAAGGTTAAGATAAGGGTGCAAGGGGATTAATTTTCTAATGCCATCATTTTTTTCTTATTAGCCATTTTTACAGTCTTATAAATAATTTATCATTAATATATCATTAATATATCTGTTTTGCTTCAAATATTTTCTTTGATGTCACTTTTTTTTTTTTTTAATTTAAAGGTGTTAATAATATAAGTGTCAGGTTTATCCTGTCACTATTTTGTCTGGCAAAGTCCTTATCAAGGCACAGTTTTCTCCGTTCTACAATAACGGCAGCAAAGCAGTTTTCTTTTCTTAAGTGAACAGTAAAGTGTTATTATGTAAAAACTAAAATTAGGAAGCTTTAAAGCTACATCATTTTAAAACTTAAAAAAAAAAAGTAACAAATTTCTAAAAAAAATACAAGTACATAGTCATATGAGATGATGCTATGCTGGTAAGGAGAAAAAGTTATGAAAAATAAATTGTCATAAAAATATATGTATTTTATCCCAACCTTAGACAGTAATTCTAAAACATGACATAAATATTGACACATTAAAAACAATCAGACCCACCTTTCTTTAAAACAAAAGATGCAATTGCCGAGCACATGGTTAAAAAATACATCTACATGAAACTATTCAAGAATTGATTTCCGTTTATGACTGGATGGAAATGGATATTACATAATACCTTACATTTAATAGTGAAATCTACCAATCTTACACAATATCGCCTCCTTTGTGAAGTAACAGATTAACTCCTATTAAATCTAATAAGAGTTAACCCATTACTGCATAAGGGGACCATATTATTATTATTTCTAAATAGAAAACAATACTAAATTGCATTTGGTATATTCAAAACATATGCATGATTCGAACAAAATAAAGCTTTGAAAAAAACTGCAACATTTACTGTACAGCACTAAAACAACCAAAATTTCACAAATGATAAAATCTTAGGTATGATACAAATACAGTCTTGAATATACTTCCATAAAAATTCAAGCCACATGCCTCTAGCCCTTAATAGTTTTTTTTGTGTTTTTTTTTTTAAATAATGCCATGAACATATATTACATTTTGAAATTTATGAATTATAGGAAAATATTTATTTGCACACATTATTATTTTGTTATTAAACATTTATGAATTCAAGAAAATGTGAATGTTTGCATATACTTCTATTAATTCAAAAATCATGAATTCAAGGAAAACTTAAAAAGAAAAAATAACAACAAATAATTTTTTTTTTTTTTTTTTTAAAGTAGTGCACTTCTAATTGGCACTATAATTAAAGAACTGAAAATAAGACAACATAATTGTAGCCGAGCTTTCCTTAAAGGGACACCTGTATTCATTATTTTCAAAATATATTAAAATTTATCATTATTGTGAATTAATTTCTTTCTTTTTTAACAAGATAAATAAAGTAAATTTTTTTAGATTATTATATAAATGATCCCTTGTTAGTAAATGCATAAAAATGTTCATGATTGAAACTATGACAAGATATAATAATTCTTTGCAAATCCAGAGATAAATAAATAAATAAATAGAGCATAATATAAACATTATTCCAAACTGATTGCGTTTCCTAAGATTGTACAATTTATCAAATTACATCTTTTAATACAGACAATGTTCATTTTTTTCTATAAATCAGAATTTAATCATTTTTCATTAAAGGCACATAAAGCCCCAAAAATGAAGATTTTTTTGTGGTTTTTTTTTTCTGTAGAAAAGGCAATCATGTGTTTAATAATGTTGCAAATAATGTTTTGTTTTAATGGTGTAAAATAATGGATTTAAAACATGAGAGATGTTAATTACCTGAAGAAATGTGAACAGTAGCTAAATGTATATGAAGTTGTATTTTGACTTCCATTCAATTACTAAACCTCTACTAATTACCAAAATGCAAATGACACAAATGATGGCTCAGCTATGTGGCCAAGGAATACCAAAAATAGAAAGTTTAAAAAACTAAGCACTTTACAGGCTTAATTGGCCTTTAAGTTACGTTAAAACCTGCAACTATAGTTAAGTTTCATGGATGAAATAAAATGTGTCATAACAACTAAATACGTTAAATAATTCAAACAAATCTCGAGGCATGTACCTTCATATAGTCTTAAATAAAATCCTCACAAATAAAAACTTTAACTTGTACAATAAAATATGACTGTGTTTTTCTTTTTTTTTACAGTTCATCTAAAAAATACTCTCTTCTTTTTTTCCTCCTAAAATTTCAACAAGTATCACAAATGGGTTACTTCGTCTTCAGTTTCACCAACCTCCTCGCCAGTGTTATTGTTATCACTTGTGGTTTCAGATATAGTCTGTACTACAGAATTGCTTCCATCTGTAACAATACCTGCCTCAATACCTGCCTCAATACCTGAAGTTTTGTCAATATCACTACCTGAACCAACTTCCAGTACATTATTATCACACTGACTATCATCACATGACTGTTCTCCAGGAATTACCACATTTTCACCTCCGCTCACAAACTTGTCTTTTGGCTTCGCACCAGATTCTGAACCGGGTTCTTGTTTCCAAGCATTGCCATGCTCCTGGTTCAAGTTTTTATCTTTAACAACATCACAGTTTAATTTATCACTTAAAACTTCCCTGTCAGCAATGTCTGATTTTAAAGCTGGTGGGAAATCTGTATCATAGTTTCTAGCATTAATGATCCCTTCTGCATTAATGCCCCTGAGATACTCTTCATTTAGGAGGTTAGACTTTGCATTCTCTTCAAATACTAAAGATTCTGCTGAGTCATTGTCATGAGAGTGTAAAGACTGGTTATCAGATACACTTTCTATATTACCCTGACTGCTTTTTGGTGAACCACTTCCTTTAGACTGGTCTTCACATATATGTTCCTCAGGGGTTATTGTGTCACTGGATGATCGGGACGTTTCACTCTCACCATACTCTGTTGACTGCTTGATCAGTTCTTCCAAAGCCTGATCATTTTGTGCACATTCTGCGGTACTCTCGGAACTTTCTGTCTTGCTCGCCTGTCGGGACATGTCATGAAAACCACTCTCAGCTGAATTACCAGCATCACTAGGAGTCTGGTTTTCTGCTATTGCAGGGGGTACCTCAACAAAACCCCATGTGCTGGAGCGATCCCTGAGAGGTGAATCTAGACTGCTAGACAATGAACCTGATGAACTGAATGACCCACTTAGGCTGCCTAGCAACGGTCTAGCTACATGGCCAGTTTCCTCTTCATAATATCTCTGAATAGACAAATATATACTATATTAGAACATTCAAATATATATAAAATCGAATGAGTATATATTAATAAAATTAATTTGATCAATTTAAGTAATCAAATTATAATGAAACATGTTTAAAGGGTTACTTGCTAAGCCATACAAATTCCATCATCCAAGAAATAGGCTGACAAAGTTTTATACCAAAATCAATCTACTTTTTCTCAGGATATGAATATACAATGTACATTTGTAGTTTTAAACAATAAAACAATTTTTTTATCTATATTTGTACAAACAGTGATACCTTCCTTCCCTAAATATTTATTTTTCAAAAAAGTTTAATATGTTTCTTAAAGCAGCAAGCCTCCACATTTATGCTAATTTCTTAATAAAAACAAGAAAGGGTTTCAATTAGCAAATTTGTTGACAAGTTTAAACATTCAATGACTTTACCTAGTATAAAGCACTTGTGTAAAATTTCAATTTCCTATGTATGTAATTTGTTTGAATTTTGGAGACAAAAAATAGTAAATTCAGTTTCACTAAATACATTTAATATTTTAACTGGGTTATGAAAACATTGATACAATTACAATACTATAGAATGCTTTAAATTCACATTGTCAAAGTTTTGTGTTAGTGTCTTTTCCTTTATTCACATTTTTATATTTTCACTTCATCATCATATTAAATAAAATAGTTATTGCAATTTCTGGCTATTTATTCATGATAACTATTAATTTGTTTTTAAATTTTTTAATGAATTAATTTTGAAATAAGCGAAAAATTCATATTATGCGCACATAACCAGTTCTACATTATGATAGGATTTCGATACATTTCTTAGAATATACATAAATTTTTGCTTAATATGAATTTTTTTTTAAAGATTTACTTGATCTCATTTGGATGCGTGTCACTTTATAAACAATATTATATGTATACGGTATTTGAACTCATCTGGTCTGGAGGCGTGTAGCTTTATAGACAATATTATATATCAGGAAAAAAACTTGATCACCAACCTTCCTAGCCTGAAGCTGCTCTATAGATGCTGCCAGCTCTGACATATTTGACGGTGCATTCAGGTTGAGAGATGAGAATTGAGCAATAATCTGCGGTGTATGCGCCAGAGGTTTTGTCTGTAATATATAGTAACATTTATACAAAAATTCTACAAAACATTCTTGTAACTTTCTAGTTTAAACATTGACTATTATTTTTAATTGTGAAGAAAGGTTATGTTATTTACAGTGTTATTTACAGTATAATCTGCTGGTAGAAACTAATATTACACATGCAAACAGTGCAGACCAAGATCAGCCAGGTCATACAGGCTGCCTGATCAATTATGGTCTGCACTGTTTGCTATTCAGTCAGTCCTTATTGTTAAATTTTCCCTAAAACTGGTTTTGTCATGAAATGAAAGAATGTCAAGTTAAAATTGCTACATCTGTAAAACGGTTACAGCATGTTTGAACCACTTTTGATTCTAATTTCTGAATTTAACCAGCACTGGTGTTATACGAGATATGTGACTCCAGTAAAGCTAGATTCCATGATCCCTGGGTTGTGTGGTGGGCAGTCACGACTTGGCTGACACGTTTATAGATGATATATAGAAGAGTTCCTTATTCTATCAAAATTTTCCATTGTATTTCGCTTTTAATAACAGTTGTAACTCCTTAATGTTACATAAGTAAAATGTAGCAAACCCTATCAATGTTAATAATTTCCAATAACAATATTTACTTCCAAAAAAAACAACAGAGAAAGTGACATAAAAATTTTACCACAGAGAGTTTTCTGCCCTTTTTGCTGCGACGACGTGGTTTATTAGCAACAGAATAATCCACTTCTGCCTCCTCGGACTTCTTCAGTAAAACATATTTACCTCCATCCAAACTGTCTGCCAAACCTTAAAAAATATCAATATTTATACATCTAGCAGTCTATGGGTATAAAATGTCAAGGATAATGTTGACAAGTGATAATTTTTCATGACTTCACATGTATGAATGCAAGTGTCACCCTATAGTGCTAATAGGGGGAAAAATTGTTGTGTAACAGTTAGCAACTGGGGAGCCCAGTTGGTACAGCTGGGGAATGGTATTTACACTTTCCAGGTTTGAGTCTTTTTCATATCCCATATCTTTTAACCGTTTTACAGAAAATCCCAGATATTCTCTTTTTTTGCAGTATTTTAAACAAACCTGTAAAGCCTTATTTACTTAAATTCAACAACCATCTGATGTTCATGAAATTTGAACCAATGTGGTGAGTTGCAAATAATCTGACAACAAAGTCTTTCAATACTTGTATATTTCAAATCTTAATTACAAAAAGAAAAAATTGCATTATTTATCTATACTCCTAGAATCCATCTCAGAATCAATTTTAGAGGACAATATTTTACATCAAACATACCGAAACCTAACATGCAAAAAATTTTTGTCTGATTTCTATGCAGATTTTATTCTTACTCTGTGTGAGCAGGGACAAGCCATTGTTTTTGTGAGCAAGAAACTATTTACCATGTCTTATTGCTTAGTACTGTTTTTTTCCAAACAATCACTAAAATAAATTTGTATAAACCAAAGAATATGTATTTTTTCATTTGACACTTCATTTGCTGGAATGAATTGTTAAGTTTGAGCCTTAAAAACATGATAAAATTTGCTTAATTACCGATTCCGGCAGAAAGATCAGGTCTTTCTTCTCTAGGGCTAGATAACATACTGTCCTCTCTTTCTGAATTGTTTCTCTTTTGTAGGTAACTTATAAGAGTGTTACATAGATTCTTCTCATCTTCAAATGGTTCCCGCTGAGCCTCGTATTCCATCCTGAAACAGAACAAGTATGCTTTGTTTTTCATTTTGTTTCCTTAAGTAAAATTCGTTATTTCTCATGAAAGGTCATTCCCAACAAATTTTTCTCTCTCTCTTTCAACTGTTAAGTAAACTGTTAAATACAAATTTCAAAACTCCAATCGTTTCAACATTCCTATTTTTTATACACATACAAATTAATTTCAAAAGTTTTCCTAATAATTCTCAATTTTCTACAAATAATGCATATTACACATATGTATTAAGCAATAAGTTTTCCATTTTCCACTTCATTGTCAAAAGATAATATTCAACATATCCTTTATTAAAAGTGACATTATACCCACATGCAAACTGTGTGAGTATACCGGTAAAAGTCAAATTAACTTTATAGTTAGCCATAATATCTATATTATATATTCTATTTCTCTCAACTTGACAATGAAAAATATCTTTTTTTTTATAGTTTGTTTTGTTTGGTTTTATGTCTCACCAACACAATTAAGGTCATATGGAGCCAAACAGGAACGAAGATTTTGGCTAACCTCAGGGGTTACAAACTTGAAGCAACACCAAGGGTCAAAACAACAATCACTTAAAACATGTTAGGGTCATTCAAACATCTACTTTTTCTTTGAAACCATGGACTTACATTTCTTTCTGCCAAATTTCTTCCTTTGCTTTTCTCTCCTCTTCCTTCTTTTTGAAGCTCTGCTTCCGTAACCAATGACGACGTTCCTTTAGTTGCTGTTGATAGTCAGACTCACATTGCTTGAACTCCATAAATAACTCCCTCTTCTTATTGTAAAGCTGGTCTAATTCTAAAATTACAAAATTATTTATTCATTTATTTTTTCTTTGATGGATATTGAATCATATAAACAATGTTTAAGGTAATTATGACCACTTTCAAGTTCTATTTATTGCAGGGAGGCTGTAAAGTGCATGATTTCAGGCACAAGAAGGTAACGGAGATTATTATTCTTATTATTTTTCTTTTTGTTTTTTTACTTCTCACCAACAGTATAATGGTCATAGGGTGTGACTTTCAAGCTTTACAGTTGGAGGAAGACCTCTGTGCATTATTTTAGGCACATAAAGGCACCCGAGTAGAAGCACAGACATTCCGTATGCTAGCTGGTCCAATAGCTTCCTCACATGAAAGATTCCAAAGTCCCTGATGGGATTCAAACCCACAGCATTGATGGGCAAATGGTTTGAAGTCAATGACCTTAACCACTCGGATACCTGTGCTCTACAGTGTAGGCCTACTGGAAGTAAATTTTCTTCCTCTGACTATAACTTTAAAAAAACACAACAAAAAAACAACAAATAAATATCACAAATTACCCTTTTTGATTTCTTCAATTTTCACTTTCTTCTCATGATTTGCCTTTTTCAGCTCTTCCTCCCGCTTACTAATGTTAGTAACAGCCTTATAATAGTACTGAAATATACAAGACTCAAATAATTCAATATTACAAGAAATAGAATACATATATATTTTTGTCTATGATCTGAAAAAAGTAATAATGTTATATACAACTTACATTGAAGGAAATTCATGCTCCTTTGAAAGTAAAATACAAAATTAATCCCCTCCTGCAATAATATACATGTATTAAGTCCCTTTCGCAAAATATAAATTAAGCGCCTTTAAAAAGATAAAATTAAGCACCTCCCACAACATTAAGGTGACAACGGAGTCAATTATCACTGAAAATACCTAAAATTAGATTTTTTGCTTAGTAGATTTATCCATCTTTTCTGAACACATTCGTGATTTATTTTTGGAAGCAATAATTAAAAAAAATGTGTTTTTAAACGTTTTAAAACGGTACCTGTACCATTTTTATCTGCTATTCGCATAACCTGTCAATTATCGATAACGCTCCGCCCCCTGTTGAGGCATCAATGAGGGAAATCGGTAGTTCCATACATGCGTGAATTACCGGTCCATACTGGTCCATACTACTCGTAATTCATGTATCGTACAAATACCGAATATCGATCGTCTACCTTTTATTAAAACCTTTTTTATAAAATAAGAAATTGTCGGCAAATGTACGTAACATAATCTATGAAACATAAATAATTATAAGCATAGCGGCAAATCGCACGACCACGGGGTTGATTAAAAATATAGTTGCTAAAATATCCATAATGTGTGAAAATGATTTGTCTGTCCCGTTAATCTGATAGATATTACATTGAGTTTATGGACTTTTGTACGGATTCAAGGGCTTGCTTCACATTCAACCTCGTTTTCTAACAATGTCAAGTAAAACAACAACAAAAACAGACAACATTTTTTATGTGAACGCCTATATGACTTGTGGTAAGGTGTTCCTTGCAAATTTCTAAACCATTTAAGGTTGTCTAAGGATGATTATTTCTCTATGAATCAATAAAAAAAAGATAATAAAATATATTATCAGTGAATGGTTTGAATAAATTGTTCGCCAGTAAATCGAACACAGTACTAACTAGAAATGTGTCCATAGGACACGGGTGCCCCCACCGCGCCACTGTTCTGTCAATCTTTTTACTAAGTCAAGGGAAATAACTCTACAAATACTTGATAAATCCACAAGCGAAACCCCAGGTACAAATCTAAATATGCTGAGCAACCTGCCCATAAGGTTTAATGACTATGTTAAATCCTTTTTGAGTAACTTGAGACACAAGTTGAAAATTGCAAAATTTTACTAAGTCAAGGGCAATAACTCTGAAAATACTAAAAATATCCAGATGAAAATACCCAGGTGCACAACTTCACATGCTGATCAACAGTCCTGTAAAGTTTCATGACTCTAGGTCAAATACTTTTTAAGTTACGTGCGACACAAGTTGAAAATTGCAAAATTTTACTAAGACAAGGGCAATAACTCTGAAAATACTAAAAATATCCAGATGAAAATACCCAGGTGCACAACTACACATGCTGATCAACATTCCTGTAAAGTTTCATGACTCTAGGTCAAATACTTTTTGAGTTACATGCGACACAAAAGTGAACGGACGGACGGACGGACGGACGGAAGGACGGATGGAAGGACGGACGGACAAGGGTAAATCTAAATGCCCGCCACTAACGTGGGGGCACAATAAACCTGGGACAAAGTATGGAATTTGTTGTATATCCCAGTAGAAACTGGATCTCTATGCCGCGCTTAGATGCATAGATGATATTCATGATAATAGAAGTCAAGAAGGTCAGATCATAATGATCGAGTGATACCTTTACTTCTATTAAAATATGTGAAGCATTTATATCAATTTGGAGGAAAAAATATATAATATCCCGTTCTTATTTGTACATCTACCATGGACTTTAAAAGACCGTCAGAAGCTCAGTTTTCTGTTATTTTAATTTATATTTTAACAGAATTTCATAAACGAATACACAGAGTGACACTGGTATAATATAATAATAATGCTGATGATAATAATAAACTTCAAAATACCCCGCTAGCGGTGCGCAAATACGTTCCATTTCCCCCCACCGTGTGCCTCAAATTTTACCGAGAGTCACGTGACATGTGCGACCGATACCAGACGGACGGTAAATCACGTTAAGATTTGAAGAAATTTCTGTTATAAACTGATATTAATCAGCAACTTTTTAATTGGTCTGATGTCACTGGGTCATAAAATGTTGTTAGAGTATGTTACCGCAACTTGTGACCCTCTTGAGTGCGATATTTGTGTATTATGCAATTATTTAGCGTGAAACGTAGGGGTCCGAGAGAGAACAGCCGATTTATGACACTTCGTTTGATGCGGGTCGGACTAACTTTGAATCGGCATAACTTTTTTAATAATCAAGCAATTAACATGCGGTTTAAAGCACATGAAAGGGAATTCATTTACGGAGGGAACCGTGTCAGGGATTTTTGTTTGCTCAATCAGCGACTTAATTATCTTTAATTACGTAATATGTATGGTGAAAAAAGTCGCATAAAATGTTTGACGTTACGTAATATTTTTTTGAGAAAAGATAGAAAAAATTTGAGACACGGTTCCCCAGATATTATAAGTATGTTTATTTTCCAAAAGTTTGATGACAAAAAAATAAAAAATGACTTTGATATGACGATTTAAAATTTTAGGATTTTTATTAAAAATCAATCATTTACAAAGGCATTTTTTTCAAATATGTTATTTTTTATGATGATCAACGACATTTAATGCACAAAGATTAAATAAATAACAATTATTACTAAAATAAGTTGGTTTAAATGACATTTATGTGAGTACCACGGAAAGTGTCTGTTGTCACCTTAAGTCTCATCCACAAAATAAAACTAAGTCCGTACAAAAACATTTCATCAAACCTCTCCTTCAATATAAGATTAAGCCCCTCCCACAACAGAAAATTTAAACTAAGTCCCTCCCACTAAATAAAAGTAGTTCTTACCTCTCTTTCTCCCCTCATTCGTCTCTGACTCTCCCTCATTTTGTCTACCTCCTTTTTCTGAGTAAAATACTCTCTGAAATTAAAACAAGATTTAAACAATTTACTTGTTTGTTTTCTTGGTTTTTACCCTGATTAACAAATATTTTTCATATCTCGGCAGCTGATCTACCCTACCAACTTTCCTGGATAACTAATCAGTAATGACAATCATAATAGAACTGGCCATCCTGCACATCCTGCTCAATTTTTCCAATTTTCAAATTATGAACTCCCTTAATTTTCAAATAGACTGCTCCAAATTCAAAGCAAGAAGGATCTATTATACTAATTCATCTGGTGAAGAGTTGAAAACTGCAGCTAGGGGAAATAATAATTTGGAACATATTTTATGACGATAACCATTAACCTAACTGTTACTGAAAGTTAACGAAAGATTTAATTGTAAAACTTACGCAAGGACTTTCTTTGACCGCTTCAATTTATCAACTTCGGCAACAATTTTTCTCTCCTCGGACAATCTGAAGTTTTGAGTCTTCAACTGCCATTCCATTTTCCTGTAAACACATACATAATCGCCATTTCATAATGACACCTACATTGCTTTGAATTTCAAAGTTTGCATACTATGAAGTTGACAGGGGACTCCACTCCGACTGTTTTGTTTGTTTGGTTTAATGGTGCACCAACACAATTAAGGTCATATGGCACCGAAACAGGAAAGATGATTTTGGCTAACCTATGGAGTTTCAAACTTGAAGGGACACCAGGGGTCAAAACCACCACATCTGTTGCAGGTAAGAGATTCATAGACTCCAGTTTTTCAAACCCATTTAGCCGCCTCTTACGATCAAGCAGGGATAAACGGTGGTTGCGTTTCTGAAGCCTCAACCCATACAGGCCCTCAGCCACAAGAGGAAGGGATTCAGACAAATAACTTCCATGTAACATGTAGTGGTACAACAAGGTATCAACATACTGGTATATTGTGACACAGTGTCAGCCAATGCATATTAAAATACAGAACTCTGGAAAAATGACAGCGCTGAAAACAAAGATTAAAAGTGAAAACTACAGACTCGGTTTGACCGACCCTGTTCATGAGAGATCATCACTGACATCCTCTAGCACCAGTAAAGCAATATAAATCTTCAACACAGTAAGTATAAATGAATTATCCAAAATATACAAACACATATTCCACCATTTCATGTACTGCAACCTTATAAATGTAAAAACGTCTTTATTTCTTATATGTTTGATAAAGACTAAAGTTACATGCCTCCAGATGAGTCTTAATATTTCAATAAAAACAAAATTGAGAAAAATATACTAAGATGTACGGAAAAGTAAAAAGTTTCCAGATTCATGTAGTATTTTACATATTATGTGCTATTAATGACTGATTTTTCAGTATTTACAACTATATTTCTACTGTGTTACTAACGCAGTAAAGGCTATTTATGCATATTTTGGCCACTTTAAAGCTATTTATGCATATTTTGACCACTTTTTGGTAACTTATGTGGTTTGTAAGTGTAATTGATAATGTTTAAATTGTTTCCTCTTGGTTACTTCACAATATTACACATTCAAATGCATTTTCAAAATTTTCATGAAAGTTAACATGAATCTTGAGGCGTGCTGCTTTAAGACTTTTCAAAGTTTTTATGAACATTAAATTTTCAAACATTTTTTTTAATCATATTTTGAAGAGCTAAAGGAACAGTAGCTTCTGATTTCTATCTAATTCATTGTAACAATCAATGAAATGCAATGTGTATTGCATTGTAGGTTTGACTGTTGTTTTTTTACGTTGATTTTAACACAATATTTGGCCATATCTCGGCAGTAGATCTATTGTACCTAACTGACCTTCCTGGATAATTTACCAGTAATTACTAATTTCTCTGAAAGTGACAGACTTAATCTCACATGACTTTTGAATCAGTGGTAAGAGACAAATGACTATTAGACTCCATATCAAATTATCAGTTGTCATGGAGATATTATGTCTTACCCTAGGATTGAACCAGCAACTATGGATGACTAATCTGATGCTTTCCCTGTTCAGCTGAGCCAGCGATTATATCATTCCATTTAACTTACTTGGCTTATGCAACAATAAGACACAAGGTTGCATCATTATCAGGCAAAGCCATTTTGACAAAACTATTCACTTCTCAATTTCATATTGTTATTAAAACCTATAACTCCAGTTTTAATTGAGGACAAGTCTAATTTAATAGTAAACATTTGTAACATTGATTTTCATTAAATAATGTTACATGAACCATACACACACCTGATGTAAACTTATGATTTTTTATATTTTTTTTATTCTCAATTAAAATGATCCTGCCATATTATAACCTGGCTAGATTATTCACAGGTTATATGGGTGTGTATAAACATTTGTATCAAAGACTAGGGACTTTTCTTTTTAAAATGTGTCAAAGACTCAAAGTTAAATTGTATACCCATACATGCACAGTGCGTTGACTGGAGTGCAGGTATTAGTTACTCGAACTCTAATTATCACACTGTGTCGGGGATAAAAATAGAGAATGATTGTTGATTGCCCCTTTTTTCTGGGATTTACTTATTGTGATGACAATAGAAAAGTGATATTCAGATGCTTCATCTTGTGAATACAGGAAACGTGTTTTATATTTGCCTTTGATACAGAACAGATGCCCCCTTCTACATAACAGATAGCCTCCTGTACTGATGATCTTGGTATTACTTGTCTATTATATAACCCTCACCTGGTACCTATGGTCATATAACCTTACAACTATCTATACTGGGCAATATAACCAGTCACAAATCTATATAACACAACAGTTATTATCATAAGTATGATAGAAATTAAATTAACCTGATGGCATCATCGATCTTAGCTTCATTCTTGTAGTGTAGATTAGACTCTGTTTTTGATAACTGACCCATCTAAAAAATATAACACAGGAACATCTATTATATTTACAGATAAATACAAGGGATTCATTTAAAGCAGGGCTTCATAAGTCCTGTAGTGCGATGTCCTGGACAGCTCTTAAATTTGATCTTAATTCTCCTGCATATAATTTTTTTTACAATGTCTACAATAAAATCAGTTTTAGGAAGCTGTCCGAGCAACTCAATGATTGACAGTAAAACAATTGGTCGTGCAAAAGCTAAATACATGTATACCTAGTTGAAAAGCTTTGACAATTTCAGGGAAATGTATCTTAAAAACGGTTAGCCAATGCAGACATCAATGCAGACATAAGGTCATGACAATAGCACTACTTTTTTCCTTCCACAAAACATACCTTTTTCTTGATTTCTTCATTCAGCAGCCTCAAATCATTGTCTAGTTTCTTACGCTTGTTAATAGCTGCCTCTTTTTCAGCTCGGAGCTCTCGAGGTTGTACTGGAGAAGCATCTGGATTTGCATTACCGGAAGTTTTCTACAGCAAAAATAATCTTGTTACTCATATAATTAAAGGATATGGTGAAAATTCTAGATACACAGTTAAATGCCATTCAAAAACTAACTGAAATAGATTCTTCAACAGTAAGAATTTAATGTCACTAGCTATGGAGGGCCTATCAGGCCTTACATTGTAAAAACAGCAAAGTGACTGTCAGGTAAGTGAACATACACAATAGAATGAAATATTTTTCAAAGAAATTAATGATATTTAATGAAACCTTCACTAATCTTATTGAACTGATTATATATATATCACTAATCTTACATAAACAAAGACATAAATATGTGCATATTAACTAATGGTGACATTCCAACATTCCTTAAGCTAACTGGGTAACTTTCTCACATGGAAGAATCCAAAACAAGCTATTTAGTTCATACATATTCTGAAGCTTCTCCCACCCAAAAAAATGAATGTTTTTTTTTTTCCAAATTGAAATAATGGACTCAACCACTTAATGATTTTTAACTAAGTAAGGGTTTACGTTAAATACAGTCATCGAATTTAGCACTGGCCCGGTGGCCTGGGCCAGTGAATATTAGTTCGGGCCAGTGAAAATTTTAAGAAAAATTAGTTAAATATGTAGTAGAATAAATTCAAAACTGGAATTCGGGTAAGTAAATTCAAAATCTTTAATTCATTGACTGTAAATATCACTGAAATTGAACTCACGATTTCGGCTTCCTTGGCACGAATCAACTTCTGTAGCTCCTCCATCTCCTCTTCATACTTCTTCTTGTTTGGTCGATTCATCTGACGCCGTAGATCTTGTGATGATGACAAAGATGGACCAAATGAAGAAGCTTGTGGTAACAAATCTGAAATTAATTATATCTTTTATATATTTTTTTAAATTAATTATATCTTTTATATTTTTTAATCAATAATCTTTTTTTCTTCTTTTTTTTTTATTGTGTTTTAAGTGACATAAACACTGTTAAAGTCAAAATGGTGACTTTCCAGCTTTACTAGTGGTTGGCTTTTATAAATTACATAATTATAATGTATCAACAGGTAAAGGAAATTAGGACTTTGTCAATTAATTTACAATCTGTTTACTACCCTAAATGACATATTAATGCACAATATACATGTCGCTTATCTTGTTTATGAAGAAAACATGTTTTTTTACAATGATCAAGGTTAAGATATAAAAGTTATTCAAGCATTATCAGCTGATACCAAATTTAAAACTAAAATCGTGACTTTAAAGAACACGCCCTTTTTTTCAATACAGGTGATACATCGAGAAAGAAGTTACTAGTTAAAAATACACATTTAACTGATTTTTATAATAACATTTAATTTACTTCTGAAGCAACTAAAATACATTTAAATCAAACCTATTACTTGGTTAAACTCTTCAGCTCTGGTAATACCAACCACTTTGTATTGTGAAACTTAGTGGCTAAATCTTAAAGTAGTTTTTGTTACTAAAAATAGATCTGACTCAGGTAAATTTTAAAGGTCCTGCTACACTACAGACTAGTTTCTACAAGTCTGAGCATGTTACTGTGGCCCCTTTTTGTACAGGAAAAGTGTAATTAACCTAATAAATAAATGGGAGTGTAAACCCCCAGACTCAATAATATCAATCAACTGTAACCTAATTTCAATGTATTATGTTTAAGTACAAATGCACTTTCAACTTTTAAATGCACATGTATGCAGCCTTAATTAATACCAACTACCTTTATATTTCCTATATGATATTTTTACAGTGATTAGCTATATCACTTGTTGTGGAAATTTATTTGGTTAATTGGTTAAATCAAACTACCAGAATTTCACAACAAATATAAGTATGTATCAATGCAAACCACTCCTTGTGGTTGATAATGCAATACACAACAACCCAGATGTGTTTAGATTAAAATATGAAAATTCTTATCAGCCCTGATATGAAATTGAGTCAATAATTTAAATACCATGTCACTAGAAATTATGCTGAAAAATCAATTCAAGTGTATAAAGCTTCAGTGTATATATTTATCTCACAATTATTTTTATAAAATTTATAAACTGCAAATTATTATTTTTCTGTAATCATATGGTTGATTCTTGAATGAGTTGTTTACATAAAATGTCTTTGTTATTTAACACATATCAATATTGTACGTAAACAGAAAAAAAATGTCCCGGAACAAAATATTATTCTGCTATTTTAAGAAGGGTTTTTACCATTTAGAAATGACTTCATTCGCTCTTAAGAAAATATTACAGGTATTCTCTTTCAAAAAATAAATAAACTACAGGTAGTAGATATAATGAGGTTAATATTGTACATTGTTGAGTACAATACTAAATTTTATTGGATAAGTACACAGCTGTTAAACCCATATTGGATGAGGCGCTAGCCATATCATAATTATCCATTTCATATGGATTTATAAGGAGCATAAATTGATAAAATTTGATCCGATAATGATAATTCTTTTCTATTGGAAATCACATGGGTTCAAACATTGAAAGTTTATTGGTTATATTTTATAAGGTCCCAATATAAATTGAAACAATTTTTTATATAAATTATCATTGGTGTTCATAGAATTTAGGTAATTCCAAGTGTCCGACATGTAACACTGTCACTGTCAGTTAGAGAACATGACTGTCACAGTGACACTAATAAAGTATAACAAATGCATCAGTACCCATAAGGTTCTAGAAATATTCAAGAAAATGAAGATTTCTGGAAAATTTTCAACATGACTGAAAAAGGAACAAGGATAACCTTTGAACAAGACATGGGAACTAGTCTTTTATGTAGCAATACAAGTTTAAAATGGATATCTGTAGGGTTCAAAAAGTTATCATCATTTTCGCAATTTTCAAGTTAATTCTTCGACATAGCAACCACTCTTATCAATATAAGAACAAAATAAAATAGTATGCATATTATCCATATTGCCCTCTATTTACAGTTCACATTTCTTGAAAAAAATTCAAATTACTTTCATGAATTACCACAGAATCCAGTTGAGTTAAGGAAACATGGGCAAAAGTGTAGTCTCCAGCTCCCCTACCTATGATCTAGTAGGGACTTAAAGGCAATGAATATTAAGCCTGTCTGTGACCTTTTAATCATATTTTCAGTGCCAGCCTGCCAGGAGTGAGTACATTGTATAATTGTTCTGTTTAAGAGATATTCAAGAAGTCAAAAAATGGCATTACATTGTCAAAATGTAATGAAGAATTGTATAGAATGTAGTTTGTCAAGTTTGTTTCTGACAAATTAACAATATTGTTTAATAAAGATTATACCAGTTTTGGTTTCAAAGATATTAAAATCAATTTATAATGTGCATGCATAGTTTATACAAAGATGAGAAACTCGCATATAGAGACATTACATTATTTCATTACATGTTTCAAGTGAGGAGGGGTTATGTTTTGAGAGATGTTTAAGGTACACTTTCAGAACATATTTTAAATTAAAAAAAAGTGGCATACATTTTGTAAGAAAGCATTATGAAACATGTCCTAGCCTAGTTTGATTATGACATTGTCAATTAAAATTTTAAATTTCATTCACATTTCAATTTTTAGAAAATCTGGACTCAGGTTTCAGAGATATGAAAGTAAAATGTAAATTTCAGGACATTTTCTAGGTAAAAGAATAAACCTTCAAATTACAGTGTATACTGGTCGGAGACCATCAACCAGACACTTTTGGAACATTTTTCCGTACAGATTTCATAATTTAACTTAGAGACCAAATAATTTGACACAGTTCAGCTAGGTTCTTCTCCTAACTAACAAACTAGTTTGTTTATTTCTGATTGTATTGATACTTATATCTGAGGCTCGACAAGGAGGGTATCAAAATTACCTAAATTGTCTACACTACAGTACCATGTGTCCGGACATATATGTACATGATGGGATTTAATTCAGATAAAAGCTTGTGTGTTTTGATTTGTAATATGATATACAATATGTCAGCAACAAATGCTGAAGTTTTGGATATTCTATTATTCACTCTGCAAATTATTATAGCTGGTCTATGAGGTCAGGCATTGCTTTCTTGACCCCCGAATTTCAACGTCTACATTCTTGAAATAGACATTAAAATATTACCATTTACGGCGGTTGAAATAAATTTATTTACTTAATTTTAAAAGAAAGATGCACTAATTGTTGATAAAAAAAGTGACTGACAACCACTGAACAAAAAAAATACAAAATTAAGAATTTTCGGGGCCGTCCGGGTTTGGTGGTTGTCTGGTTTTGGTGGTCCCCAACCAGTACAGTGTAACACTTTGTCAAAATAAAATACAATAATTTATGCGAAACCCCTTGTGACACACCCTCAATATTATTTATTCAAAATTTCCATAAAATCTGTACTGGTTTCAGGCTGAGAAACATTGGTCCAACATTGTAAGATAAAACATTGGTTTATTTCCAACACTAATTACCGAGCACAGTCTCAGGGTAAAGACACTGAGACATGGGGATAGAAATGAAAAACAATCTTCATTATCGATCGTCAATATCGGGCATATCACACACATAGCCTTGACATGTATTGTAAATTTCATGTAAAAACAGGCAAGATTTTATTTCTCCACATACCTGAGACTTCACTTCCTTGTTTAATATAAATACAGGCTACAAAAAGCTGAAAAACTATAACATGTCACAATCTAGAATCTCCCATATACCTTAACCTTGAATTTGTAAGACTTATTGTTTAATCACTTGAACCAGTATTGAATAAGTTATAAACCAGGGTAGATACTGTTTACATAACAGGAACATTACACAATCTTCATTAGCAACAGTCCCGATAACTTTCCAATAGTTTCAGCTTTCAGATCTTTATATATATATATAACTGTATTTAATACATGCAAGAACATAGTTCAGTCATATAAAGTTACTATTTAAAGTGTATTTCCACCTGTTTGTCTGTTAGTTTGTCAATATTATATACAATTTGACAATGTAATGAGATTGTACATTATATATTTCAACTGAATTTTAATGGGAATTACCTTGTGAACATCTAAAAGAAATCATGTTGTTTCAGAAAATTAACCTGCCAGCTAAAAGAATGAAAGTGACAAAATCATTTATCAAAATGAACTATGACAAATTTCTTAAGTGTAATCAGAGTATTTTCAACAGTAAGACTGTATTGATAATGTTTATAATATCATCCCTAACGTATGTCAATATTGAAACAAACCAATTATCGGTAATATAACATGTGGTTAACAATGATCTACATTAAATGGCCGATTCAGCAATTTATTTGCATAAATGTTCTTCTTTTTTTTTACTACTATGCACTGCTTTCTATCATCATGTTTATAAATAGTAAGGGACACGTATATTATCTATAGCTCTCTACATGACCTGTTTACTTGACTTATTGTGAAGATTGCATCAGGCATTTAATTTGACCTTGAAACCTTTTAGCTCTGAGATAAGTAATACCATATACCAGTACTAAATATTAAATGGGGGGTACTGTATTATAATGGCAGTCAGCTTGAAAACAGTACTGACAAATTTAACCCTTAATACCATGCTAAATATTTAAAAATAGACATATTTTTCAATGTGGACAATCCCATTCAATATTTTCAGGTAAAATTTCAAAAATAAGTACTGACTGGATAGTATACAGTACAGACTATAATCAGACAGCACAAACGTTCAGAAAGCACTGATCTCAGTGATATAATGATCGAGCTAGCTGATCTTGGTCTGCACTAGCTAAATAAGTAGGGGCAAGGTAATGGTTAAAGAGAGGGCCTCTGTAAAACAGGCACTTGCTTTAAGTGTATAACTATAAAGCTATATATCTACAGCAAAAATTGTAATTTAAATTCTGCAAAAAAAATACTTCCATAGTACCTGTATGCACAAAAGTGACAAGGTGCTATATTGCCTAAGAATAAATCTTTGGTTAAATACCATATTTAAAATAGAAGCATAATATTATAGTGACACTCAATGAAACAACTCTTCCAATAATTATGGGGACAATAAAATTGATAAGTTTACCACTTAAAATTTTTTATAATTATTTCGGAATCCTTAGATATACAATTAACATTATCCCATTTCATTGAGTAAACACCTAACATGCACTTAACAAGAAGATTGGTATATAAATGTACTTGTAACCAAAAAATAATGATAATTTATGTTAAAGGCTCATTTGAATTAGATTTTTTACCATGGGGAATGCAAATGTGACAAGGGTACACTGAATGAGTGAATGCATATTCTGAAGATTTTCAAGGGATTACAAGTCAAAATTATGTTTGATTTTTGAAAGAAAGAAAAAAAAGAGGTTATTTTGTTTTAAAATCACAACTCTTGTCTCTATAAAACACGTGCAGCAACCTCTAAACTAGTTTCCTTTGTCCTTTATTGAAAAGGTATTTCTATTTTTAAATGGTAATAAAACTTCATTCTCTATGACATAATATAAATTCAGGCAGTGAAGTGTCCATGGAGAAGTATGACACTGAACACTGGAGTGAAAGTTGAACAAGTACACGGAACTGAGAAAGAAATCTTATCAGACAAAATAAACCACAGCATTCCTGTCATGCCACTGGTAACTAAAACAAACCAACTTGTAACCTTGGATCAACCATTGTCCTGTTAAACTGCAGTCAAACTTTAACCTTGTAAACAAAATATGGAATTCTGTCATCTAAAACTGTTTTTTTTTTATATCTAAAAACAACTATCAGATCAATATTGAATTTACATGATTGTGCACATTATCACCTTCTGCAAACATTTTCATGTCAATCAAGAAGTTTACAGTAAGAATAAACTTTAGGGAAATATAATATATACAGAACAGAACAAAATAAAGATCCACAATAAAGAAACTAAGATGTTATTTATCATATCAACAGAAGAACCTTATTAAAGCTTAGTCTTAACATGTATTGATAAACTGTGTTGGTTTATGAACTGAACAAATGAGGCATTCTTAATAATACAAAAAGCAGGCCTGCAAAAAGTATATTATTGTTTGCATATCTTTATATCATTTTAATAGCATTTAGAACCTTTATCCTTCCATATCAATTCTACCTTTAATCGGCTAAATTTCTTAAATGGACTTGCCAAAACCCTAGTTTCCATTTTTGGACCTGCCAATTACCAATTTTGGGGATATCAAGATAAAAATTTAAAGCTGAGCAAAGAGCCTGGTCCGACTACATGAGTCTGATGACTATACAGGCTGATCCGTATACATCAAAGAAAGAATTACATAAAATTTAAAGTAGAAATATAAGGTATATATATGTATTATACTTTTGTATGTATGTTTTATAATACATTTATATGTGGCTACTAGGAGCTGGACTTCTGATCACTATTGTGATAGGCAATTCAATGGGAATTGCATCAGAAGAGTATTTCAATAGGCACAAAGAATCAGTTACATGATTTATATATATCACTACTCATGGCAAGCTTTTGCTAAAGAAAGCTTAGAAATAGGATAAAATTACATTCCTTCCTTTTAAAAAAAGTGTTATGTTAAAATATAACGTTAGAAAAGAGGATATTAAAATGGGACAGATAAGACATAAACCAGTTTAGAAGCTACCAGTACTTTCAGTGCTTTGATTCATATCTAGAGCACTAGACATAATATTCCAAATATCTTAACATCAACCTTTTAAATTAAAACTTTTTAAAGATCTGGAAACATAGTGATCCCTCGGAAGCATTAATCACAACAAAATTAATACATGAAAATTGCAGACTTGGTTTGATTGAGTCTGTACATGAGGGATAATGATTAAGTGCAACATCCCTCACTCCCCCTAGCACCAGCTTGAGCGATACTCAATTCTCAACAGTTGAACACTTAATAGTGCTGGCATCAATGATCCCTAAGGACCAGAAAAATATAACAATACTGAAGTGAAGTACAAATCAACTTTTTACGGCTGCCACACGGCACTTGACACCTGCTGTTGTGAAGCATAAAAATCTGGAAACAAAGTGATCCCTCAGAAACATCTACATTGTACCTTTATTCAATAACATTCATTTAATCTACTATTAGAAATCTAATTTATCTAACTTGAATGAACCAGCTAGTTCAAAATGAACACTTTATAATTATTTGGTTTTCCAGATCCTTTTTCAAAGCTAAGACTATAACTGTTAACTTAATACATAAATTAACAAAGAAAAATCTGACTTGATTGCTCTTGCTTTCATATCATTTTTATATTTTTTTCTAAAATTTCAGGCCTCCACATTAGTGGTGCCAAGCAGCTGGTCTGTCAAACCACTTGAACATTCTGATTGATGCATGTCTCATCTGGGAGAATTGTGATTTAAGCAACAGACAATTTAAAATATATTTGTCCATGTAATTGTATATAATCATTCATCTCATTGGTGAAATCACAGTTCTTATTAACTAATCCATTTTTACCTTAAGTCTTTGCAAGAATTTACTTGAAAAATTCATTCAAATGGCGGTAGTACTGCATAAAAATCACCATTTTTACTTATGACATTGTATGGGATTTCGGATAAACTTTAATTTCGGATACAAAAGCAGCAAAGAAAAAGGAAAAATTATATATCTAGTTAACTTTGGACTATGTATCTTTATTCAACACTCATATATCCATTTTTTCTACAGTTAAAATTACTGTACTCTAAAAAGTAAAATAAACTGATGTCAAAAAAATATTAAGAAAAAACAAACAAGCAACTGGGATGTAATAAATCTGTGTGAAAAATAAGCTCAACTACAAAAAAACTATGCTGTTTACCTTCTACTAGTCCTACCTAATATTTCATATTTTCCAAATACAAAAGTAAGATAATTCATCAGTTTTATTAAAGATGTTTATTTATAAAAATATATATATTTATAACTATACTATGTAATTAGGGTATTGAGCTGGGACATAAGATAATGGGACATGCAACTCGCGCTTTCTTATGTCCCAGGTATTGAGTAAATGCAAAACAAATAATTATAGTCTAAGTGATTTCGAGACATTTCGGCCCCAAGACGTATCGGCCCCAAACTACCCAAGACGTTTCGGCCCCGGACGTTTCGGCCCTTTACCAAATCGGCCCCAGAATAAGTACTGTATTTTAAACCTATATATTAATAGCATTTCAATAATAAAAAAAATTATATATATATATTTAATCATTTTGTATAAAAACTAGATTATTATAGTAGTAGGGGGAAAGTAATCAATACAAACAGAACAGAACATAAACTTTATTTGAAAAAATATAATTACACAAACAAACAATTATTAACTATATATTGATAATATTTTATTTGAATGATTAAGAAGCAAGACACAAAACAATACCGCCAATTAGCATAAAGTATAAACAGTTAATTAGTTACACTTACGTATAGTTTAATTAAGATCAAAAGAGAATGTTTTCTAAGGAAAAGTTGTAAGTAACTTTCTTAATCCAGAAAATTTAGTGGTTTGTTTTATAAGTAAGTAACCGGCCTTTATTGTTTGTTACACCTTTAAAAACATTAACGTATATCTAAATCGTTCAAGAGATCAAAAGATAATAAATAATTATTCAAAGAAAGTTTGATAAATGTTTAATTGTAATTCAATTTATTGTTGTTGATCAATCAAGCAATACACTATAGTGGGGCCGAAACGTCTCGCGGAAAAGGGCCGAAACGTCCAGGGGCCGATTTTTCGACTGGGGCCGATTTGGTTTGGGGCCGAAACGTCCTGTTTGCGTCTAAGTATAGAAGTGGACTGAGCTGGCCCGCGCTTAGTTTGTAAAGGGCTGACATTATTTGAGGGACAAGGATAAGTACTTATTCTATATTTCTCATCTTAATATTTCATGTATTACAGTAATCTATATGAACATGCCACACCCATGATATTTTAAAATGACATGCATCTTCAAGATTCATAACAGTATGAAATACTGGGTAATCGTTCTGTCATTCATACATTCTGTTTTATTTTAGAAGGAAAACTCGAAAATGACATTCATCTTCTATTGGTTTTGTTATAAAGACCTGATGGTCTGAAGCCCGAGTGATGGGGTTTCAGCTAAAGACAATGCTTTTGGAGTTATAAAGTATCCTTGTCAATTACCCTAAAAACAACACAATAGTTTAATTCTAAAATGTCTGCAACAGAATAATCTGAATGATTAGGGCGTTCAAAAGTTTACAAACATTATGAGTCATGTGACAGTGTAAATGACGTTTCGTGACAGTATCATGCTCACCAAGGTTTTGGTCATTTTCTTCCTCGCAGGTCGATTCCTCCTTAGTTTCATCATTATCCATGTTTATCACAATCAAGGATAAAACTAGATGCAATGATGTGTCAGGAATTTATCATTGATCCTTTTAAATTCCACAAATATTTTTGCATCACATGTTGAGCAATGGAATTCGAGTGTGTTACTCTGACATCGCCATTTTTACTGTCACGTGACAAGCAAACTGATGCGTCATAGTTTCAGGGGCATACCCTTCTGGCAGTTTTGGAATATGATGCAATATGTCTATAATTCAGCACGTGCTGACTTATATTATAAGAAGTTAAAGTTTGTGCAACTTTGACACCTATTCAATATGATTACGACCTAAAGCACCTGTTAATTACGTGTTCACGCGCCATTGAATTTTGTCACAGACATGACCCAGTTATTCGAAATTACTCCGCTAAAAAGTCTGGGGCGTGAAATAACCATTTAAGTAGAATTAAAAAATTTAAAACATATGAAAATATTTATTTATAAATAAATAAAGGTATCTTGACCAAAATCAGGTTATACGAGATAATGTGTTGCAAAATATTTTGATTGGTTCCTTATAGATATTTGGACTATGTTTTAATTCGCATGGTCATTATGCAAATTGTTTGAGCGGGAAAGGGTAGAGACGCCATTTTGAAACGAGCGATGTAAACAGTAGGAATTCAATCATCTATATTGCCAAAGATCTTGGTAAATACTCCAAATTAAATTATAAGAGGAAAGAAAATGTTATATTTGTTTTGCATCTAGGGTAAATGTGATCTGTAACCATATACTATTTGAATTTGGGAAAATAAATGAGGGACGCCGCTGTTGGCTCGTGATATTTTTTGTTTCTGCTGAAGACAGAAGTTTGGATTTAGTTGTCGAAATTGAGACGGTATTTTATTAGTAGAGATGTTTTAACAATGTGCTTATATGGCTCTTGAACAATCTGACGTCTTGCATATTATTTTTGATTCTGTTAATACTCGTTTCGTACCAAGTTGTTTCGTAATTTTGAGGACGAAAATCATATCATAGATCAAAAGTCCAAAATGCATATGATATTTTATGACTTTATGCCAGGATTTTAACCAAGAAACAGTAATTGTCTTTGTATGTTTGCCTTTTAAATATTAATCACCATGTTGGCTACTGTACAGAAAAGTACAATAAAACAGTAAAGAAAGTATGAATGATATCGATCTTTGTCATCTCCAGATGGCGAAAAAATAAAAAAGTGTTTTGGTTGCATTTGAATAAATCAATAGGAAAAGTTAAAAAATTGTGATAGTGATCCTTTTTTGTTTCAATAAGTTCAATTTTCAGCACCTTTAAAAATGAAAAAGGCACCGAAAATAATTGTTGTTGGTCTCTGATAATTGCGTCCAGTACTGACAGTAGTCCAACTAATTGTACTGCGCGACGAGATATTGTGCTATTTTCGTGTCTGGGCAATATCTCGCCTCTACGTACAACATAAAAAGTACCTTTTCTGTGGTGAAATTTGCGCTGGGATTTTGAGCGCAAGCTTTGGACCATGTAAAATCGTATTAGAATTCATATTTGAATAAATTTGTTACGATACCTTTAAAGATTATTCATTTCTACATCAATTTCATGTTTTATTTGTGAAAATATTCCTAACATAAAGATTTTGATAGAAAAGTAAACACATGCACCATCAAAATAAAGACATCGCCGCTAATGTCACGTGACAAATACACTGTTGATAACTACACTGGTGTGTATGCGGTACTGCGTTCCTGAGAAATGACGAAACACTCTTAGTAAAATATCAAGTTTAATGTTATATTTAAGACATTTATTTATGCAAAAATTAATAATTATGATAGGATGATAATATTATTTTATTGGAGCAGATGCACAACTTATTCGTTATTGTCAGAGCGTTCTTAGAAATATCTGTAAACGGACTTCTCACTAACAGGCCTAGACATTAACTTTTGAATCAGGTTGTCCTGTCGGGCAAGTAGTTTTTAAAACTACTTGCCCGTGACCTAAGACTTACTTGTCCTGACCTTAAAATGGTAAAAATGTATAAATCAGAAAAACAAACAAGCTCATAAATATTTTTTGTATTTAGTAGTTTTTCTAAAACATCGGTTCATCTGTTTATTCAATGTGAATATACTACGGTCATGTACATTTGTTGATATAGGAAACGGAAGGAAAAATATGAGCATGCGCCGCGGTAAGGAAATTCCCCGTTCAATCATCAAGTCAACAGCCGTAAACGAGTCTTCGTTTACTAAGTTCATAATGTTGTTATATTAGATTAAACAATAAATCATTTTTAATGCAAAAACTTTATTTAACAATTATATTTAAAGATCAATATGATTATCTACATATTTTCAATGATATCTTTACATGCAAACATCAAAATTTAAACAACAGCATAACCCGGGAATTACCTTGTACAAAATTAGATATAGTCTATTATTAGAACCAGGGCTCATCCGGAAGGGCGATTCAGGCGAAAACTTCGCCGTGTATATTCCAATTTCGCTCTCCCGATTGATCACAGAGAAGTCAACATCGCCGATAAAATCTTAATTCCCAAGTAGTAATTGCTTAGCGATGTAAAGAGCAGAGATTGTATCCGCCCATATGACGACCTCTAATTATCATTATCCAATCAGAGCGTCGCTTTATACTACCCTTCTACCTGTAAGCGAAGCGATAGACCGCCTACTCTAAACAGTAAATAATGAGAGCATCGGCCCGAAACGGTACAATTGTGTGATAGTTTTGCGAGTTTAATACGGGATTTGGCGATAATTATACATTGTTTTTTCCCCGATTATCTAAACACGTGCAATAATCCCTAATTGATATATACGATGCACTTCGATGGTGGGTTTTTAACCCGAGTAAAGGCTATGTGCAATGGATTTTTCACGGCTATCACTAAACTGTTAGTCAATTAAAAATAATCAATTTCATTAATGATCAGCGACCGGATTAAAAACTTAATCATAGTTTTGAATGATTTCAGTCTGTTAACATCAATTTTTACTGTAAAATTGTTATGTCGCTCACGTCATGGCTTAATTCAAGGCGAAATAGTAAGAAAGTTACTGATTCTGATAGTTACACCTACGCGAAAATTTAAGAAAGCCAATTCGCAAAAATCTTGCGATTGGTATGTTTTAGACAGTGGGCTGTTTGACATTGTTCTCTTTGTGGAAATGCCAAATTTGACACAGTTTACGCACGTGGGCAAGACATCCCGGCTAAACCGGTCGTATATCATGTAACGTATATTTACGATTTTGTTGTTATATATAACAACAAAATTTGTCAGGAAAGAAGTGTTCTTATTGTTTCAATATATATATTTGTTTTAATGTCGTAAATATGACGCTCAGATTAAGATTTATCAATATTGTAAATTTTAAAAAGCATGATTTATAAAGATATTACCGAATTTAACATTTCATGAAAATAAAGGGAGGTAATTAGATATTAATTTTCTACAATTTCTCAGTCAAATTTTTCAATAAGAAATGAAGGTATGTAATTTTAGTGATCAAATATAATGTGCACAAATGTTTGCAGTACATATTTTACATATTCTTTGATGTTTGAAAATTGTTTTATAAGCATAATTATATGCATATAAAGATGACATTACAACATTCAGGACTTCGAAAGATATTTCTGTTACCAGAACAGAACAGATATAATTAATCAATATCCAATGTGACTTCATCTTCTATTAAAAGTGAGGAAAGTAAAAAATATAAAATTGATTTTATCATCATATTTTTTCTTACACATTATTATCAACAAATGTACATGAAAATATATAAACACATATTTAGAGAAAGCTTATAAATAGCTGATCAATAGATATCAAAAATAATTTTTTATATTCATATTTGCAGCTCAAAAACATTTAGATGCCATTGCCAGATCTACTATTAATTAATCTACTTTTAATTAATACTACTATTAATTAATCTACTATGAATGAATAAACTGGAGAAATATTATAAGTGATGTTAATTGTGTTTATATTATAATTAAAGGATGTATAGCCATGCATGTTAATGCATACACATTGGGTTGTTTCCCTTCTCCCTAATTTTCGCGAGGAAGTCACTTCTCCCTAAAATTTCCCCCCAGGATGAGCCCTGAGAACAGAGAATTACCTTACCGCGGCGCATGCTCATATTTTTGCTTCCGTTTCCTATATCAACAAATGTACATGACCGTAGTATATTCACATTATTGATAATAATTCATGGTGTATTTTTGTTTTAAAGATGTTTATAAATGAAAAGATGTTATTTCTATTCATTTTGTACATGCATTTTGTCAATGATGCTTTTTATTTTCACTTGCCCTGTCGGACAAGTGCTTTTCAAAATAACTTGCCCGGACCAAACTTTTAGTTGTCCCGGGCAGTCGGACAACCGTTAATGTCGAGCCCTGCACTAAACCGTTTTTTTTTATAAAAAAATATTTTGTTCAGCTTTCCAAGTAAATATAGGACATGGAACGTATTGGTATCTATAGATTTTTTTTCCACGATTATGATGAAAATAGGGATATGTTAAGAGCTGAAACATGAGGTTTATATGTTTAAAGAGCAATATACGTTTTCCTAGTGCCTTAGTGACTACGAAAAGACACCATTCTAAGGAATTTGACAGTCTGTTATTTATAATCACGTTGATTAACTATTAGGCCATAGAAAATTAATCTTTAGACTCTCATCCAGGTTCAAGAAATAATTGGGGCGGGTGGGCGGAATTTATAATTTATAATTTATTTTATTCAGCACTTTTAAGACCTGAAAAAAAAAAGAAATGTATGAATATATTGATGAACGTCAATCATTTCCACCCAGATTTTGATCAAAACTAAACCCAAACCAATCACAAACAGTTTTCTTGTTTACTGCATCATATATTTCACATATGACGAACATTTTGACAATTTTACTGATCGAAAACGAACGTATTTAAAATCTTGATCACTAGACGCTGTAAACCTCAGTCTGATTTTTGTGTTCGTCCCGCGAATATTCAACCACGATTTTCGGACGAATTTTCGTCCACAGACGTCTGCGAAATGCAGGGTTCCCGCTGTCGATCGCCAATGGCTTCAAATGCGACAAAATATTAATTCTGGCGCATAAAATCTTTAATTTGCGAATTTAACTGGCGCCAACGTAAGATAAAAGCATCCGACAACTAGTACACTTAAATGTCATAAGCGGCCGCGTCAATTACATAAGCGGCCCAAATGTGAAAGGTCACGCACTATTACTTTGTTTACCAACCTGTATAATCGGGTACCGTATAATCAATTATGTCATCAATTGTGTGACAC